GTCTTTTGCTCGAATTCATGAGACTAACCTGAAGGTGAGTTGTGGTCAAACAACTGTCGATCATTAGTCTAATTGGAACGCAGAAACAAGGAGTTCTCCCCCTTTGGTTCGCTGATAAAAACGATTACTCTCGCATCGGATCGGGCGACATAGTCGAGACTGTTGGCTTGGCAGACCTTATCGAGGGACGACAAAACGCCGAAGTCAAGCTTAAGGTCACCAAGCGTACCGGCGAGGTATTTGAGATACTCACAAAACACACCATGTCGGAGGATCAATTGAAGTGGTTCCGCGCGGGTTCTGCCCTCAATTTCATTCGCTCACAGATGTCCTAATGAACCGATTACAACTACCCGTTACAGTGATTGAATCGCGCGTAGTCCAACTTCAATCTGTAGTAGAATCATTCTCTCAAACGGCCAGCGAGAACGGCGGACTGGGGGCACGGGTGCCCTTTAGACTATAGTCTGACAATGGTACATAAAATAAATAAATAAAAACGATTACGTCCTAAATTGTTGTGATTCGACTAGGATTCTCCTCTGAGTGACAGGAGGATGCAGTTGAAGATTATATTTTGTTTGTATAATATCTGATACAATGAAGATCAGTGGTACGAGACGCATGGCCGGAATCAGAGGTTGAGTCAAGTGACATTGCACAAGTGGCATACCCACATCGAACACAGCTAATTTATTCCTCTGAACAAAGGAACCTGGAGGTCTCATACACTGAAAAGTAGCCTCCCACCTGCGATACCGTTCAAGTGCAGTGTCATGCATGTCATTTGATTCAGTTTGAAGGCGAGTTCATCGCAGAATGTAGTATAAGAAACAGAACAAGATTATGGCAGCAGCGGGAGCGTGTCGGATTTCGCGGATCATTTGCATTCGGTTGCACACAACACATGCGGTTTAAATGTTAGAGCTGGGGCTTTTTCTCGGTCTGGCAAGTAGCGAATTCGGCGCAGGGGATGGGAAAAAACAGCGGAGAGTGAAAAGTGATTGGGAGAGACGTTTACGTTCTACAAAGCCCTGTCCCACTACCGTGTGAGATACGTGCTACCTTGAACTCGTCAAAGATTGTCCCAGGGAAGACAGCTGTTGAGATCCGATATGGTCCTGTCCTTTGAGTACATCCAAAGCTTGCTTGGCAAGAAGGACAACAGATTCTGGCATGCCTGCCAGTTGAGCGACCTTGAGGCCATGGCTATCTCGATTCACGCCTGGCCGCAGACGATGGGAGTAGGCAAAATGGTTATCCTGATAGTTATCCTGAGTAGACATAAACCCAATATCAGTTCGGTTACTCACGTCCGTCTCATCAACATCCGTACAAAAGAACCCGACCTCTTGGAAGACACCGCCGCCACGGTGACTATCGGAATAACCAAGCATATCTGCGAGTTCATGAAAATGAGTTGCAAACAAAGCTCGACACTGGTTTTGGGTGACGAGATAATGCACGGCAGCAAATGCTATTGCCAGACCATCTTTTACGGTGGTCCCGCGACCCACCTCATCCATGATGACCTACAGGATTTTCAATCTTCACACATGCTGGAATGAGTAAATCAATAACCCACCAAGCTCATTGGAGTTGCCCGACGTAGAATTTCAGCTGTTTCAAGCATCTCCACCATGAAAGTACTTCTGTCACGAAATAGATCATCCTTGGCCCCTACTCTGGAAAAAAGTTTGTCTACAACTCCGATGACAGCGTGATCCGCGGGTACAAATGAACCAGTCTGAGCGAGTATAGCAATCAAAGCTGCTTGTCGCAGGAATGTTGATTTCCCTGCCATGTTGGGGCCTGTGATTATGTGAACCCGGGAGGCAGGTTCCAGTAACACGGAGTTCGGGGTGAAGACTCGACCTGAAGCGAGTAGGCCAAGTTCTACGGTTGGATGTCGTCCATTGGTCACCTCATATGTCATGCTCATACAATGTAAGTAAGCGTCATAGGGATGCGCATCGAGTAACATACTGATCGGTGATAACGGGCCTCGTGAACCGTAATTCAGCTGCAAGAACCGCAAATCCGAGGGTAACATCTAATTCGTCCATTATCCGCGCGTTCCTTCGAAGGTGGGTTGCAAAGGCTTTGACCTAATTTTTTTTTAAATGAACCTATAATAACACATTTTGGACGGGGACAACTGACCTCATTGCGCAACAGGTTGAAAGCTTCCTTCTCGGTATTTGTGATCGCCGTCACAGTTTCAACTAGCTGATTGCCTAGAGACGACCATGGCTACAACCGATCATTTTAAATGAGGTACTTTTCATGAAAGAGGAAGAGAACGAACAGACCTGGTAAAAATAGGAGCTAGTCGAACCGCTCTGCGTTATATTAATGAACAGCGGCGATGCATTCACAGCGGCCTGATCTCTCCTCGAGCGACCAATATGGATATGCATTCCTTGCCCAGGAGAAGTCCGCAGGGTCAAAGAAGGTGCTTCTACTCAACTAAGTCAGCGCGGCCCGATGGAAGATATGTGCCTCACCATAGTCTACTTGAAGTTGACGTTCCATTTTCGTTCTTCGTGCTAGTAAATTGACGAGGTTGGTATGCAGAGATGCCAATTGTGGAGAAAATCTGGACCATGAGATGTAAGTAATGAAGGTCTGGATCGACAATGCTGCGTACTCTGGTCGAATGAAACACCTAGAGGAAATATCAAACTTTAAACCAATTTTGCCGGGCTCCTCCGAGTCTGCTAGCAGAGGGCCATCGACGTCCTGATCATCTCTCAACTCGTTTGTAGTTTCAATATCTCGCAAAGCCAGATTGATTCGACTCTCGAGGTCTTGTAAATCTGCCATTCGACATAAAAGAGCATCGACACTTGACCAATCTTCAGAAAACAGAAAGCCTCGTTCCGAGCGTTCCATTTGCTTCTCGAGTTCCAAACGCTTGCGAATCGTACTCCAAACGTTAATCGTCTTGCTGATCGAAACTAGATCGCCAGGATCACCTCGTCCAAGAAGAAACCTCTGAACGATCCGTGTCGTGTCTTCGACTTCGTCCAAGAATTGCCTGACGTCGCTAAGTAAGTGTGGCCTGGCATGGAAGAAGGCTACCAATGACTGTCGAGCTTGTATTTCTGTAACTGATGTACTTGGTGAACCTAAGTGTATGTTAGGGGCTTTGGAATTCCATTAAGTAACAAAGACTTACACAACCATCGAGCCAGTAGACGTGTTCCGCTGCGTGTTACAGTTCTTTTGACAACGCTCAGCAAGCTGCCTGTCGTGCCACCTTCTCTGGCGCTTTCCCTAATTTCAAGTGCCTTGATAGTGTGAGAGTCGATTTGCATGCGCCCGACGTTGCCTTCGCGGCTCGGCATTGAGAGACTTGGCATGTGCTCCAACAAGTGAGCGTGCAGAAAGTTGGTCAGAATTGTGATAGCAGATGACTCCTCTGGAGAATACGCGGATGGAACAGAAGTCAAGGCTCCTTCCAGTTTGTTGAGGTCATCCAGAGCAGCAGTAGTCTCGGTCAAATCCTTCACCAAGGTGTCCTGAGAGGGCGTAGCGTACGAAACAAAGCAGCCTTCATCGACAAGCAGCTGATGAATGGGATGCGAGAATTTAGCTTGAAGTTTATTCTCTAGGACAACCTCTCGCGGGCATATCCTCGCCAGGTCATCCTTCAGAGCCTCTCTGGATGATGTCTTTGCAAAAAATTCACCTGTAGAAACATCGATCCAGGCCAATCCTATAGGAGTGGCATCCGTTTTTTCCATTGTACCATCACAGCTGATGGACAATAGATAGTTGTTTTCAAACTGGTTCACGAATGGCTCATCAATAAGTGTTCCGGGGGTTATCACACGAACTACTCGTCTGTCGAACTCGGGTTTCTGACCTGACGCAGAATACCGAGGAAATTCTTCGCACATAGCGACGAAGCGTTTATTGTGTTGGACAAGCAATTTGAGATACTTGTCCAGATGCATCAATGGGAAACCACACATGGCAATACTTTGCTTGTCCCAGATGCGAGAAGTCAGCTTGATGTTCAGTAGACGAGCGACCTCGATTGCTTGGTCAAAGTAGGACTGCGCAGAAAACTAATTAAGCGAAGTTTGGCAAAGCAAAGAGGAGCGCGTCGTACCTCGTAAAACTGACCAACACGAGTCAGGAGAATACAATGGGGGAATTTAGCAAGGTTGTTCAGGATCTCGATGGCAAGCATGTTGCGCGGCTGCTTTGGAGGTGCAGTGCAGTGTGCCGAGTCGTCCACCTTTGTTTTTCGACGCCGGCGAATCTTTATTGGAGTGTCAGTAGTTGCGGGGGCATCTGCTCCTGTTAGGATTATGTGACAGTCTGCAATCGATTAGCCGGGGAACGAACGTACCTGCGTTGGCAGCGAGAGGACCATCAGATGCTACTACTTTTCGTCGACCTCTGTGTTTTCTGGGTTGTTCTTCCTCGATCACTGCACTTCCTTGCTGCGGTGGAGTGTCCAAACTTTGTGTGTTTATTGATACGCTCCTTTGAGATGCACCAGAGGAGTCCTCAGTGACGTTCAAGGGAGAAGCTGGATGGACCGCGTGTGCATTTACTTTTCATAAGAAAGGAATATCACAAATACATCTGAATTGCGTACAACAAGGCATTACAAGATCATTAGGGACACTCGCGTCGCTTGGGCTCTGCAGTTTGGCAGAAGGAGGTAGAAGTGAATGCTCTTCCACCACGACGCGTCGCTTCGGGAGTTCTGAAAACTTCTTCCTTATGATAGTCACCGAGGGGCGTGAAGCCTTGACAGTGACCGCGTCATCGAGACAAGCCACGAAACCTGAATGAAAAGGGCGCGTCTGGAGGTCAGGTAGAAACTTCCGTCTACCACCACAAGACATGCGGCGACATGCCGTACTAAGAACCACCATTCAAAAGCGTGTCAACTATTCAATGTAAAGCTGGAGATGGCACGGCGGAAGAGAAGTAGTACCCAGTATTCGGTCCCGTCGCGACAGTGGCGCGGCTGAGCGGAGTTTTAATAGAACGAGGTCAACTTTCCCCTTCGTCTCTGCTTTATTCTGCACGCAAGTGAAGCAACCCAAAGTTACTTAAACTTTCCACAAAATGTCTTTCGCCGGCAGACGCAGAGGAAACAAGGTCAAGAAGGGTGTCCAATTCACCCTGATGGTCGTTGGTTAGTCGCTTTCCATGTGTCATTTTGACTTGTTCGGTGTTTGTTGACCGGTCGATTTTCTCAACGTGTTCTAGGTGCCTCTGGAACTGGCCGTACGACCTTTGTGAACACCCTTTGCGAGTCCGAGGTCCTGGTGCACAAGGTCTCCGACAATCCAGACACCGCGCACATCGAAGAGGGTATCAGGATTAAGCCTGCCAACGTCGGTCAGTTGCAACAACCATCTATTGTTTATACCTTATTTAAACATGTCATGCATTGTTACAGAGTTGGAGGAAGATGGTGTTCGCATCGCTCTTACCATTGTTGACACACCTGGCTTTGGGGACAATATCGACAATGAGTTTGCGTTCGTATATACCCATCCCTACATATCTCACTGAATAACGTCTGGTTTTAGCTTCCAAGAAATTGTTGGCTACCTCGAGCGTCAATACGATGACATTTTGGCCGAGGAGTCTCGTATCAAGCGTAACCCTCGCTTCAGGGATAACCGTGTGCATGCGCTCTTGTACTTCATCCCTCCGACGGGTCACTCGTATGCATATTTTTGCGCATCACGTTGATATGGTACGCTAACTGGCTATGATATAGCCTGAGGGAGATGGATATTGAGCTGATGCGCCGTCTTTCGCCTCGTGTTAATGTGATTCCTGTTATCGGAAAAGCAGACTCCTTGACACCCAGCGAACTTCGGGGATTCAAGAAGCGGGTTCGTTTCACCGGTTTTTATTTTTTGGCCTACGTTGACACGATGTCTTAGATCATGGAGGATATCGAGCACTTTGACATCCCTGTCTATAACTTCCCTTATGACGTGGAGGAAGACGACGAGGAAACCATTCAGGACAATAGCGAATTGCGGGTATGTGTCATAGTTTCAGTCTAAGTTGGTCACTTATGTAAATGACACAGGCATTACTTCCTTTTGCCATCATCGGTTCGGAGGAGGAAATCGAGCTGGACGGCCAGCCGGTACGCGCTAGGATATATCCTTGGGGTGTCGCCGAAGTCGACAACCCAAAACATTCTGACTTTAGCAGACTACGGAGTGCATTGTTGAAGTGAGTATGATCTAGCATGTTGTAGAAAATGTTAAAGGAATTGTTTAGCTCTCACCTTGGCGACTTGAAGTCACTGACGCATGACGTGCTTTACGAGACTTATCGTACCGAGAAGCTTTCTCGGACGGTGCACGCGGACACCCAGTAAGAAGATTGATTTGATTCTGACGTCCACGCTAATTATCAAATTGTGTAGCGATTCTTCTATCCTCCCAGAAGAGCTGGCGACTCAGAGCGTGCGTCTGAAGGAAGAGCAGCTTCGTAGGGAAGAGGAGAAAGTAGGTGGTAATAAACAGTCGATTTGGATCATGCTGACGAGCTATTCTCGTGGACGAACAGCTTCGTGAGATCGAACTCAAAGTTCAGCGGGAGATCAACGAAAAGCGACAAGAGCTATTGGCTAAAGAAGAATCGCTCAGGTAAGTTTCTATGGAAATGTGACGAGTACAAGTTTTGGCTGATGAGAATATATTAGAAATTTGGAGAGTCGTCTTGTTGCTCAAGGGTCTCAGGCCGAATTCCGAGACTGAAAGTAAGTGGATGGTTAGATATGTTGGGGTACTGTGGTCGACAATTATACCCTCCGTGTGTGCAGATCCTTCCTCACTTGTCCGTCCGCTCGTTTTCCGTTTACTCTGCAATTTTATATATACCGGATAATCCATTGCCATTCCTTACGCGAAATTTACCCAGCTTTCGAGACTTCTTGACAGTTCGTAATCGTTTTTTTAGTGGAAATGCATTCGAAGAGACATTTGCTGCTTTTACGGTTTTCCAATTATTTTTTGTCTAAGATGATGATGATCTATATGAATGTGTTTTTGAGTTTCGGAGCTGAGTGAGATAACCAAACTCGGATCGTTGTTGACGTTGAGCACGTTGGTGTGGACTACGCTCTTTCGGTCACGGTTTTGGTTTTAGTTAGGCTAGGGAGATATCTTGTGATATCTCGCAAGTACTTACATCTTCTTTCAGGTTTATATCAACATTGAAGAAGGGAACTTTGCTCATCGAACTCCCCGTCATGGAACCCGAGTTTAATACTCGCCCACTCTCTATAATTCATCGTCCACGCCCATCCCAAGATCACGGGTCTCCTCCCTCTTCGCCTCCTTCATCCTTCATCCTTACATCTCGTCGTCGTTCTTCCGCTGCCAACTTTCCTCCTGCAGGCCCACCACCGAGTCAACCAATTCCAAGTCTACCATCAGCTCCAATCTACCATCCTGATGATGTTGAACCTCCTTCTGAAGAACTCCCATATACTACAAGACACAGGTCAAACACCAGTGGTAGTGGTCCTAGTCAGAACAATAATGGTAGACCTTCAGCCTCTGCAAATCTCGCTGCAATAGCCGCGTTTCAAACAAGGCAAGCCTCTACTTCCGCGTTCAACAGTCCCCAGCCTTCTTCCAGCACCGTCGTACATGACCCCAGCCTTTTTTCCGACCCTCCGCATAGATCTATACTTCAGCAAACGTCATCTTCACACCACCAGGATATCGTGCCTGACCGTCTCTTGTTGTCACCAACTCAGTCTCGCACACCCTCCCAATCTCGCCGATCTTCAAGACGCGCCCTCACAAGAGCCTTGGAACTTGCTCGTGAAGCAGTTCAGTTAGACTCTACTAATGATGACCCCCATGCTGCTGTCATGGCATACGGTCGAAGTGTCGCTTTGCTCAGTGAAGTTATGGAGCGAGTAAGAAGGGGTGAAGACAGCACAGAACGTCCAAGACGAAATGGCAGACGGAGAAGTGTAGTCGCACAAGAAGAAGAAGTCAGACGTCTTAAATCAATAGTAAGAAATTTACTCGTTCTAGTCCTGAATTCATCTTGATTTCATTTTATCCCTTTCAGCACGACACTTATGCTGACCGCATGAACATTCTCAGCCTGATATACAGTATACCTCCCATACCCCACTCTCCATCCTCTGTCTACTCCCCTTCCACATCCACAGAGTCCACACAACCTGGATCACCATCTTCCATCTCACCCACTTCCGACTCTCATAAAGTCTCTTCGTATCCAACAGAACACACCCAAGACGAGCCTCGGCACGTCGGAGTACTTAACCATAACCACGATGACGATAATGATGGCCATGAAGGCATTGGTGCTGCCCTTCTCAATGCCACTTATCTATCCACCGAATTTGGTCAAAGAACCAATGGCATAACACCTCAACATCCATATGCTGCACCTCTGTCACCTCTTTCATCATCTAGTCCACAAGATTCCAATAATTCTCTCAACCGAAATGCAACCCTTCCGGCGAACCGCACCCAATATACCCCATCAGTCACTGGCCGACCTCGAGCAGCTTCTATTTTTCCTCCCGCTGCCCCACCTCCAACCTCGTCTCCTCTACCACCACCCCCAGACTCTGCCGTACCCATTATGTCCGCAACGATGCCTTCGCAGACCAGCAGGTTCCTTGAAACTACCGGCCCACGCGGAAATTCAATTGGACACAGACGAACGGGGTCAGGAACTAGACTGACTGCTGTTACTGAGGAGGGGGTCAGGATTGTGGGTCCTCGCACTCTGGAGAGCCTAGGTGACCAAGACCTTACGGCTTCCCTGCCCCGACGGCCTGATACCCCACGCACTGCAATCCGGGACTCTCACCCACTTCCCCCACTTCCTTCACCCACAATTACATCATACTCTATACGATCACCGGAATCGCCAGCACAACAAGTTATTGTTCCGCGAGTCCGCGGAGAGTCGATGAGCGTGATCAGTGGTCAACAATTGATCAACACCTCCCTGGCGATGGGTACGATTCATCAGAGGCGCACCAAGGTGTCTGCTCCCCCTTCGACCGATAGCCCTTCGCCTACGGAATCACCTTCACCATCAACGTTCTCTCTTCCCGCCCCAAAGCCTGCCGGGTCACCAATACCCCCTAACACAGCACCTCTCATAGTTGGACGACATCGCGCGTCGTCACAGCCAGGACGACGGCCTTCTGTAGCTAATGGCCGTATCTCGCCGTTCGACGCTCCGCGACCCCCTTTACCACACACAGCAGGGCTCAACGGATTAATTCCCCGTAAAATGTCCAATCCTTCCAAGCTGCAGCAGAACATCAGCATTAATATTCCACAGCTGCCGCAATTGACTCTGCAGACAGAATTGTTGTCGCCGTCTCTGGCATCAGCATTGGTACCTCCGCCAGCCCTAATATCCAATTTGCCGACCACACCCACTTCTCCGCTTCCACCTGCTCCACCTGCTGACTCTCAAAGGAAACCATATCATATGATGGCACTCCTGGCAAATACTATGACCTCAAAGTCTGGTGGTTACATCACCAGACGATTACATGTGCCACAAGAGGTTTGGTCACAGGGAGGGGCTAAGCTCACAAACATACCAGAGAAAGTCCGTGTTGTAGAAGTGCTCTGCTCAGCCCTGGAGGAGATGCAGCAATGTAGCGTGGAGTCCTTTGGTGCGAGCGTTGGCAGTGGACTAGCTTTGGGCATCGGCAGTGTAACTCGCAAGGAAGCTGAGACATGGGTAGGTAAGTTAGAGGAGTTCTCTTCGATATGTGATAGTGTCGTCGCGAACTTTGGCAAGAAGCTTGGTGTGGGCGAAGGTTTTGTTGTTAAGAAAAGTGGTGGGGTAAGCTCAAGGATGATTCGTTCGTCCTCGTGGGCTGACACTACTTGTTTCTTCAGGTAACATCATGGGGAGGCAAACTCACTCGACAGATTGACAAGTTAACCAATGGAAAAAAGTTCGTCTCTCGCTTTTATTGCATCCTTGCCTTATATTGACGTGTGGAATAGCCTTGATTCGCCTGCTGCTTATGTGTCTGGATTAAATAAGCTGTTTACGATAGCCCAACTCATCGATGAGCATACAAAGGCATTGCTGTCGCAGCCCATCGCCGCCACATATGCAGCGTTCCCTATAGATCTCCGGGCTGCTGCAGAAGTCAAGCTAAAACGCGCTTCCGAGTTTTTTGCGAGCGTCGTGCTGACATTCGTCATTCGCGACCTGGCGCAACTGCTCGACAAGTACGCCAAGAAGTGTGAAAAGTGGCTCGCGGAATAGTGAGGCAAACCCCCATTCCCTCGGTCTGCGAAGCTGTAATACTGTTACAAAGCAGTATGTGTTTTATTTCGGGACTAGATGGGTTTACCAGAATATGTTTTATCTTACATTTTTAGTTTATTTATTCAACTTTTTTCGTTCTTTTTTTGCGTGTCTATTCTGCGCCTTTTTCTTTACCTTCGTTCGGTGCACCTCTCACGTCCCCTCCCTTGCATACTATACATTACATACTTTGGAATTCTGTGCATATTGAATGTAGGCTACAAATCAATTGCTCACACTGCTGGATGTTTCGATGTCCAGATGTAGTCCAGACAGCTAGTACATACAACAAACTAGAAGAACAGCGAGGTAGACAGTATAGTACATGATGCAATCTATCAATTCTAAGCTTTCAGAATACAGAGGGTACACGTCCCGTATGGGCCTCAAAGTGTGATGACCGTACGGTCATTGGAGTTCCACACGCAGGATCTTCTCCTTCGGGAGTTGGTGGCCTGCCCCTTAGGCGAGAGATGACCTGCATTCTCTTGACTGCAACCCGTCTCAGGGAACATTACAGAGGTGAAAAGGACATTGACGCACTATAGTCTGTTCGAACGTGACCATCGTAGCATTCCTCATCCGAGTCAACAAGAGGATCGGTAGTCATGACAGTATGCCAGGCATCTGAAATTCAAAGAGCGAGATAATGAGCTATGTCATATAGGAACCTGAAAAGTAGCTCACGCTGCAACATGTTGCGTTCAGGGCCTGGCATGCTCAATTTCCGTGATCGCGGTGGTGGTCGTGGGGTGATGTTTGGTACGCTAGGTCTTCGTGCTGGGCGTACGTCAGTGGGCATGCGACGATATGGGGGATCTGACGGGGAGTGTGGACGGCGATGGCGCTGACGCTCGAGGATATGAGAAGGTACTGCGACGACTGGGATGTATTATGAGCAGTGGACTCGGATAAGATAGCATCTTGACATACGTTCAGACCGTCGTTCTCCTCTGCTGGTGTGTGGATCTAACGGGTCTCTCGCTGGAGGATTAGCGGCTTTTCTTTTCCGAGAGGTGCTCATAGTTGGTTGTGGACCTGGTAAATTTGGGGTGTCGTCTTCGGCCTTGATTGTAGCCCTGCTCCTCCTTTTTGCTGGGGCTTTCTTTTCAGACATGGCCGGACTCTGGGGCGTCTGAAGGACTCAGACTTGTAGCGACGAGTCGGACAGGACGAGGCTGAACTGTTATGGCGAGCGTCTTCGCACCTTGGGATTGGGTTCTCAACACGGCCGGCTGATGCGGCAAGCCGCAACTTGCCAAGTCTCTAGTACAGCCGCCGCCTATCCTGAAACAAAGGGTAATGTAAATCCCTGCGGGCATGTTCTCCCGCTCACAATGGATTTCGACTTGCGTTGCTATATGCTATGGTGTGTGTCACCAGCTTGCCCGGTCACTGCATTTTCATCATTAGCCTGTACATGCGGCGTATTATTTTTGGGCTAGGCAGGCTTCCGCCGGTCCCATCTCACCAAGCGCCTACCATCTCTAGTTCACAAACTTGGGCTCCAGGGTCATCATATCGTGGATGTGACTTGTCAAGAAGTCAAACGAACCATTGCAAGGGGTCGTATCGTACTTGAATTTGGAGGACAGTCTTGCAACGCATCACTCCACGTTCTTGCTATGTTCTCTAGGCTGTGGCCTCAGATGATTCATCAACTCTGTGTCTGTCTTGACCTCCCAGGGAAGCTATGCATCCCTAAATATCTGCCATATTATTATAATGAGGGGGAGTCTCTTGTTTCTCTTCATCAGTTGTGAGGAAACCCTGCCTGCTTCTAGGTTCTTCTTCTTCTCCTTATTCTTTTATTCATTCTGGAGCTCTGGAGCTCGGCGCTGGGGAGATGCTGTGCACCTTCACTCGCTTTTTAAACTCCAATTTCGTGTTCTATACTTTGTACTTTATTTCCTTGTTTAATCTTCTTTGCTGGTCCTTCCACGGTGTCCAAGCTGCCCCCGTCTCAGTTGGCCTAGAAGAACGGAAAATTGGCATATCTTCCAAGGCGCCTGGACTTGGCACGGCTACTGGCCAAAATCATGGTATGCATCCTTCGAAAAATGAAGGAACAAAGGCAAACTTACTCTGTATGCAGCTTTCAAACAATCTAATGGCTTGCACCATGTGGCCAGAGACTCAGGACTTGATGGAAATATCATTTCAGTCTATGACGGTAAGTGCATATTATCTGTCTGTACGTTCTCCTAACCCTGTGATGATTTCCACAGCAACAACGTCGGTGATGCCATTCACGTCTCCTACGTCATCTTTTCCCTCTATTGTTCCGATATCAGTCACAAGGGCGGAAACTGAACGTCCCATATCCTCTCCTGTGCTCGAAGGGCCATCTCCATCAACGCGATCCGCATCACAAGAAACATCCTCAGTTACTGCTCTATTTTTGCCCCCTCGCGTCCCATCGTCGGTGATCACAGTGGTCAGTGATTGTCTCTCATCCTTCCCTATATCTGGAGGGCCTTCTCTTGCGACGTCCCCTGCACCATCAGGCATATCACCATCTACTGCGCTATCTTCACCCCCTGCTGTTCCGCCATCAGTGATGCCCCCTACGTCATCGGAAACACCTATAATTACTTTCCCCCCTCCCATAGTCACTTCACTCCCACCTCCTGTTCTTCCTGTTCCCACTTCCTCCCTACTTCCTGTCTCTCCTGTTCCCACTTCCCTCCTACCTCTTGTTCCTCCCATCATCACTTCCCTCTTGCCTCCTGTTGTCACGCTTTCCCCATCTCCTGTTGTTCCAGCAGCTTCATCGATAACAACAACCTCACAAAGTGTTGTCAGACCAGCCACCGCGACATCCTCTGTAATTGTGTCAGTCACATCCGTTATACCAATACCATCCCCCAAAACCGCGTCTACTTCGTCGACGCCTAATGCGCAGTCAAATTCAAGTTCGCAGCAGGCATCTCCATCACCGACACCGTCGCCTTCACCACAAGACGACGCTGTGTCATCGCAAGAACTTGCAGGGTCTTTGATTGCTATTATCACAGTACTTTCATTCCTTGGAGTATTTTCGTTCATCCTTGGAGTTATTGTTTTCTTTCGCACCAGACGCCGTCGTATTTCCCGGACACCACTCCTTGAAGAAGAGCGCCGAACCTCGCGGCCGAACTTGTCTTCAAGGTTTTCTGTCTCAACTACAGGGTCAACAGAACGATCTAGGCGCTTCACACTTTTTAATTCGAGAACATCTACAGCATAGAGTCTACTGTAACTTCCTCGTCCCACCGGCCCGAGTGATGGTGTGATGGTAGCAACTACGCCTTACATGGTCTTCTTGGTGACAGCCTTGAGACAGGAATGAGGCCTCTGAATTGGTTGTAACACAAGGGAAGGGATTTCACACCGAATTCTTACTTATCGAGAGACATTACTTGGTTACATTCGGCGTCTACAACACGTATTAATAATGACATTTAAAGAACAAATTATACCGAAGGTATCAAGTGCGAGGAAGGCAAAGTACAGTGAGATCCTTCCGATGTGGGTATGTACAGAAAACGGGAATGCATATCGCAAGGGGAATCATTGGGGTATGGGAGTGTGTATTAGTGTAGATGTAAGCGGAAGAAAGAAAAACGTTGCGTGAAAAGTTGTCCCTTCAAAGCAAGTAAAAGCAAACCAAGACGCAAGACGAAAAACGACATCACCAGAATTCTCTGACACGCTCTAAAACCTCCACAACGACCGAGCTCTTATACATCAGAGCATGGTCAGCACCTTTCACGACTTTCACGTGACAACGTTCTTCGCCCATCGCCTTTTCCATCCACCTCACGGCATTTTCAGCAATCTTCTCGTCTTTATCTCCGTACCAAACCTGGACTTTGTGAGGAAAGTCGCTGTACGAAAAGCCCCAAGGACGATTGTCGTGATTGAGGATCTGTAGAAGGTCGCTGTGCATCCCCTTCGATGCTTCCGCGTGAGACGCCGCAATGAGAGCATTGGCGAGAGCAGTTTGATACGCAGTTGATGCAGTTTGGACACTCACGTGTGGAGAGGATGAAGTGCTCGCAGGGGGGGATGATGGAACGCTCGGCGGGCTTGATCTCGATACACTTGTGGTGGACGCACTGAAGGATATAGAGCGATGACCGGTTTGTCGAGGAAGAAGTTGAAGCGCGGGTTTATCGGAGGGCAACTTGAATTCGACGGGTTTGGTTGATTTGATAAGGGGTGGAGGAGTTGGTATAGGACTGGGTGAGGATCGAACCTTCGTAGCATCCCAATCAATTTCACCAAGACCTAAGCCCATATCTAACGACAATGGCTGGGGGAGCAGAGGACTTGAGATATCGGTCTTCTTGGGTGCGTTGGAGGGGAAAGATGATTTTCCCGTGAGAGAGCCCATGGATCTCAAAGTTTTCAGCGTTTTCCCGACAGTCGAGGTGGGAGGAGACTCGATACCAGGTGAAGGAGGCTGCGAAATTGCTTTGGACGCTTTAAGTCTGCCGAGAATTCCTCGAGAAGGTTTTCCTCTGCTCTGTTGTGTTATTGAACGTGCGCCAAGCGTGCTTTGACTCCCAAAGCGACCGTCGAAATCCCGTAGATCGTCATAATCACTGGACAGAACAGAACCTAAGCTCATCCGTCTTTTGGTGATATCTGATGGGTAAATAGTGTATCTGCCGGGACTCTGAGGTTGCGAGGAAGGCTCGACTCCATTACCAGACGTTGACTTTCCATTCTGAAATCTGGGGGATAGTGGTGCGGTATAACCAATTCCCCGGTAAGCGACAGTTGGAGGCTTTCCTATCATCCATGCCTGGATCTTCCACTCTGCTGCCTGTGCAGTCTTCAGGATGCCATTCGGGACGTACTTGAGCCACCGGTATCCTCCTGTACACTAGATGAGGGAAAAAGGCACAATCACAGGTCCTTCCAGCACTTACCACTTTCAGAGCCGCCTATCCATGGCGCCAGCAGACAAAGGTCACCCCGAATACGATTAGGAACACGGTTAGCAAATGCCAATGCGTAAGGTGCGCCGGCTGAGTGGGCAACGATGCTGCACTCATGTATTTTTAGCTGGTCGAGAACCTCCTCCACAGCGGCCGCCCATTCCATGATACCTCTTGCAGACTTGGAATGGGGGATCTCGGTACGGCCTAGACCCCATCTAGATAAATGTCAGTTAGGCCATTGTCAGTCAACAGGCATAAACTTGCCTATCTATAGCAATTAGGCGAAGGCCAAGACAGTCTGCCATTTCGTCGTACAAACCCATGATGTGTCTGACACAGCCCAGACCAAGAAATACGATCACAGGAAAGCCGTTTGGATCACCCATATCTGCAAGGCTGACGGTCAGAGGGTGATCAAGTGACGCATGAGGAAATCGGGTGAGTTTTAGCAAAGCCGTCAATCTAGCGGAGCGAAGATATTCTGCTATGGCTTGGGGCACGGATGTAGGAGAAGTGGAAATGGGAATGAGGTCAAATGAGTACTGCGAATCCCGTGCGGATGCAGTCGATGAATGGGAATGAACGTCTGAGGGTGCCCCGTGAAGTCGTACACTTGAGCTGTCTGACATGTTCGAAGGCACGGCGGTGAGTGGGGGAGCACGAGGTGATGCAAGCGGGGGCACAACATGGGATTTCTTCTGGTTATGGTACGTGCGGCGGATTTCGTCTGCAATGCTATCAAGGGAGGACCTGCCCAACGGTTCAGCTTCTGTATCAGGCGTGAGTAGCTCAGCCTCGGATTCCTCGTTCTCAACGCCGTTGGTAGGGCCATCAATATGAATATTACTGGGCACGTGTTTTGGGGATTCTCTAGAGCGGTTCTGAGCAGAAGTTGGAGCGTGGTTTCGAATGATTTCTGAAATAGAAGGAACAACAGTTCTTGGACGCTCTGGTGGCTGCACAAGAGCAACTGGAAGTTCATCAACAGAGTCATCAACTGACGCCGAAGAGGCAACATCATACAACCCCGAGTCGACTGTAATTGTGGACGAGGAACCTTTTTGTGCGGAACCAGGTCGCAGACGAGCGCGGCGAGTACGACGAGTAGGTGGTGATGGTCTTGGTTCATCTTCATCTTCATCTGAAGGCATTATTTTATCTTGTCGTCGACTTTTCCCTCTGCCAAGAACTACACCGGGTGGAGGAGTGGGCAGAGGTGGTTGGTATAAAGGGTGATGTCTTGCATTATTACCAAACCTCGAACGACTAGAGGAGCTTTTCCCAAAGAAGTCTTCCATTGTAAAGCCATTCATCCCATCAACCATCGCGTCCATGGCCTCCACCCCGGAAACCGGAGCTGAGACGACTACCGGGAAATGGCTGAGGGAGTAATTCCTTATAGAAGACGAGTCTAATGGTGTTTGCGGTGGAGATTCTGCGAAACTAGAGGTTTCAACAGAGAGCCGGAGTGATGGAACGGGGGTCTCTTTCCACTTTGACTTTGCCGATGATGGACCTGTGCGTGTCCGATGACGCGGGATCCTCGGAGTGATATCACCCCCTGACGAGAAGTCGGGGACCTGAAGAGCAAGATCCACGGTTGGAAACGCGTATGAAAGCTGGGACGCTTTCTCTTTCTCTTTGCCTTTGTCCTGATCAAAATTCCCGGAATGCTTCCGCAGAAGATCGTGAGCATGAAAAGGACGACCGGGACTCAATTGGGACCTTGAATGGATGTCGAAGCAGTCGGGCGAGACGTGAATAGGAGAAGGGGAATGGTGTTTAGCGTCTGAAGAAATGGTGGGCCTGTGGACGTCACGTCTAGACGATAAGAGGGGGTCACGGTTGGATTTCCGTAGAGGACGGTCAGTTCCCATACTAGTGTTTGAGTTCGACATCATGTAGGCAAAAAAAGAACGATGGAAGGCTAAGGCCCTGATGAATTTTACGCAAGTACTCCTCCCGAGTGGGAACCTTCTAAAACGCTTTAAAGACCTGTTTCGTAGTGTGCAATGCTTTTATTGACCTAGCGTACTGGCAGAGCGTACCTTAAGTTCACCTCCTCAGCACCAACACGTTACCGCTAACGTTGTCGGCTGTAAGAGTGATACAAGCCGATGTGGCGCCCGTTCAATGCAGCAGAATAAGGATCCGTCGAGTGCTGAGCGTCTGATATCGCGTCAACTTCCTTGCTAAAAAAACCCTGACACAGAGATGGAGTGTTTAGTTGAGTGCACAGTAACACCGCCACTCGACGGTCTTCAACTTTCGGGTTACTCTGGCAATCCGGGTTAGACTATGACCGTCATGGGTAATATGTAATTTCGATAACTTTAATATTACTGTCACCCATCCTTCCCATGGATCTGCGGTAAGTGTCATACTGGCGGCGCTCTTACATTTGACACTGGCAGCAGTGGTTACGACACGGTCCTCAGCAACGTCGTCGCGACCAACCTCAGGTGACAGCTTGGGATGAAAACATCCAGTGTTTTAGAGGATGTGTCCATGTCATAGATATGCCATAACATAGTGCTTACTTGACAACGGGCCCTGCATATCATATTTTTAGCACCACCTCAAAGTTTTACTAGTCTACTCCGCCTGCTTGTTGTCGGGCAAAGGCTGGCGCTGAGTTCGTACAGAGGAGTGTGGGATGCATCGAGGGTCTGATGATTAGTATGAGGCTTGATTGTATGAACTCGAGTGCATGAACTGATTGAAATTTTTGAGAGAGAAATATCGCTGTAGGAGATAAGGGGAAATGACTATGTAGCTTCGAGTGCGTTCAAACCAAGTGACAGGAGAAAGTCTGAAATTTCAAGGGTTCAGAACACGCTGCAGTAAGAATACGTACTAGATATTGGGTAGACTTGGGAACAAATGGAAAGGGGCGGGTAGCAAAGTACTCGGCCGATATCGAAAATCCTATGCGCGAAAAGCATTGCCAAGAAGCTTACCATCCATCCCTGTAATGTGGTAAAGAAACAAGATCATCATTCACTCATACCCGATGATGACTCGGACGAATAATTCCGAAGTCGAATGGCCTTTCAGCGGCGAAGACCCGGAAATGAGGTAAAAGTCAGAAAACTTGGCGTCCTTGAACATGAAGACAATACGTCAGAGTGTAGGTCCGGCATCGATACAGATCAGAGTGCTCCGCGAAGACATATCTTGGACAGTGATCAGGCCTGCAGGCTGGGTAATTATTCGAGTACGACCAATCAGTGGAAAAGCGAGCTTCGTGATAGAACCGAGATACAACACTTATGGCGGCAATAGCAGCTCCGGCTATGTAGACTGTGTGTGACATTCCTAATGGATAGTCGTGTAGAGCCGCCGTGCATCAGGATTCAGGAGAGAGCTGCTAGAGGTGATCACGTTGATGCGTGTGGACAGCCTCCACAGTGGCTCTATCACGGTGTTGTTGAAGTTTTGCACAAATTTTGGCAAATCTTGGAATCATCTAATCAGCAGATCGGCATGAGATCATAGAATATGCACTCTACTTCGCCTGCATGCCCTGCAGATCGTCACGGCAAAGACTTTAAGTGGGTGATTTCGGAATTGATTGAAACAGTGACTATTTTGCTTTAGGGACGTTGATTTTCATGCTAATTCAGATTGTCATCAAACCTAACTTACATCTCCGCGAGTCTCTGAATCCTTTTTGGTCCCAGACACTCAAACTGAGTGTAGACAACTCTCATATTGTCTTGCATCTTTTCGTCTTGCTGATCTAGTAGCGCATGAGTGGTCGGCTGGCTTTTCGGAGATGAGCATACAGGAGACGGAGGTTGCTTGGTGACGCTGCGAGTGCCAGTGAGTCGGCGAATACTATATGGCGTTCTTGGGCGCAAATATTGCGACAAGTCCAACAAGTAGTGATGGACGGTTTCGTCTACGTCGAGGTAAATGGGGCAGTGCGGATTTCGCTTTTTCTCCATATCATGTCACGGTTGACTTCACATTATTTATAAGGCGCGAGTGCTCTCGTAACCTAACCTTATCGCCCTCGAGCTCAATTGGATGACATTCCCACCCAACGTATGAAGCGCATGGTCAAGCCTATGTGGACGAAAAGGCGTCGATGACTGCAGAGAAGAAAGATTCAGGAGGCTCTAAAGACGTTTTCGCTGAAGATGGCGTCCACCAGATTCAGTACAAGACGCTCAGTTGGCAGGTACGTCTATGCGAGATTGCACGCAGTAAAGTCTTAAACGACGTAGGCTGTCAGCCTCCTCATGATAGCTGAAATCGTCAGCAATGGTATCCTGTCTCTCCCGAGCGCACTAGCCGTCGTTGGTGAGCCCGCTGTCCCATGAATTCTATGGGCGGCAGCGTTTTTACAAATATCCAGGCATTGTGCCCGCTGTTATTCTAATCTTGTTCCTCGGTATCTTTGGCATGTACACTGCCAAGTTGCTTATCGACTTCAAGCTAAATCATCCTCATGTGCATACCATGGGTAATTAATTCTGTCGTCGGTAGTTTTCAAACATCTGATATGCTCTAGGTGACGCTGGATACATTATGTTCGGACCTGTAGCTCGGGACGTGCTTGCCTTCGGAACTGTTGCTTTCGCTGTGTTTGCTTCTGTGCGTCATCCAGTCAACTCGAGTAAATCACGACTGAATTATGCCAAACAGGGCTCTGAACTACTTTCCAGCCAGCAAGCACTGTCAACGCTTTCGAATCAAGGCGTGTGTAGCATGTATCTAGTCATCATCACTGGTGCCATTGGTTTCTTGATTTCATTACCGCGGACACTGGATCGCTTGGCATGGATGGGTCTTATCAGTGCAGTAGTCATTACCGTGGCTGGTTTCATTGCAATGATTGGAGCAGGGGTGAACCCTGTTCCTGGACGGTCTCTGACAGTCACTGCCTCCAGTAACTTTTCCGATGCTTTCTTGGCTGTCACAAACCCTGTGGGTACCTTCTTATGTCTTCGGGTGACTCAGTGTTGCTTATCTGCTCATTAGGTTTTCGCATATGCAGGTGCGGAATTTTGTAATTTTAATTGACATTTCTAAATACTTTACTAGGACACTTCATGTATGATTTTGTGCATGATATTTCTGCTGAGACTGACCTCTGACAGGTTTTTTATTCTAATATCTGAGATGCGTAGACCCGAGGACGCTATGAAGGTCAGAATGCTCCTGTACTTGATGTTGTAACTGAAGGCCATTTTCAGGCAGCATGGTGTCTGCAGGGTTTCGCTACAGTATTTTATGTTACTTTCAGCGTAGTTGTTTATGTCTACATTGGAAACACGGTGCAGTCTCCGGCCCTCTTTTCTCTTCCTCCGGCATGGGCAAAGGCAACGTTTGCCATTGCTCTCGCAAATTTCCTGTTGTCAGTGCTGCCTTGCTATTTGGTTTAGTCCTCACTAATTATTTTTTCGGGAAGTTCTTCCGGGCTATTCATTCATACGGCTGCAAAGCTGGTGTTTATTCGCATATTTCGTCATTCAGAGCACGTGTATTCGCATACCTTACTCGGATGGGCAGTTTGGACTCTGCTGTGTTTTGCAGGCGTAACTATCGCTGCAATTCTCGCCATCGCAGTTCCGATATTTTCCTACCTAATCGGCATTGCAGCGGCCCTCTTTGCCGCATGGTACACGTATGGTCTGGCCGGATTCTTCTGGTTGCATGACGTATATCACCTCAAGGGTGGCGTGGACGGGCTCAAACAACGGCCGATCGGGACTACGATTGCAGTACTCACGATCATTGCGGGCGCTTTCATCTGTGTCGCTGGAACCTATGTGTCGGTAAAGGTCAGTATTCGTGTCTTTGCATTTGAAACTCGTCTCACTGTCAGTTATCGATGACAGCTCATTGTGGATGCATACGCCAATGGCCAAGTTGGGAGACCTTTCGTTTGCTAGGGGGATTCCATTGTGGCAAACCATGTAATCCTTTAAATTTAACGTTAGAGCTTTTCCAAGGGCAGTTAAAATTTAGATAGTTATGGGCCTGAGATCTAGTCACTCACGGTGATGTGACCAAGATCATTAATAGTCCAAGTCCGCTGAACCGTTGCTGGACACATTCATATCAGTGAGCTGCGTAATGATAAGTGGCTACGCCCCAACCCCGGCTAACTGACGAGGATGGGCTCGAGGTTGAGCCTTGAGCTTGAAGGTATATTGTCCAGTAGTGCTAGGTATCTCCATGAGGGTGACGTTGACGACAGACTTCTCAAGGGCCGAGGCCATGTATCATGTGGAACATTGCGGAGATTTGCTCCGTGCTTCGGATACTGGCGTACGTACGTACGTGTGTGCGATGGATAGTAATATTGAAATGTTGAAACACGCGCGTGTTACGATTTATCATAGCCTTTGATGAACGCAGCTTCAAGTTTGAAAGCACGCCTGGACTCGAGTTGACTGTTCCAAACTGCGACTACCCACACCTTTCTCTTCCGCTATGACCGTCGCTGCTAGACAGCATGAGCTCCCCATATTTGCACGTCCTCCAAAGACGTGGGCCCAGACGTTCAACGGGTTGTTCTTCTTCGTATTCTTCATCCCAGGATGTCTCATGCTCCACGGATTCCAACTTTTTATTCTACTGCCCTTGAAGCTTTTCTCTTCAAGTCCACAGGCCTGGAAGTTATATGAGGAGGGGATACGATATACGAAGGGTGCATTTGCAACACTTATGAGTGAGTCATCATGCCATCATGCATCATGCCGGCGATACGTGGACTACTGTATATGACAACATTTCCTACCAGATTTGATGAACCAATGGTTCGCCCCGACACGCCTTTCCATCACATTCGAGCGGGTTGGACCAGGGAAATTCTCAGAGGATGAGATCAAACATATCGTCGAACGCGATGCGTCTGGTAGGGTGGTGGCTTTACGCTTACCGTCTAAAACGGTCGTCATCGCGAACCACCAGGTGCGTCATCACTCTAATTGTTTGGCATGCGCTAATTCGCTTCCAGGTCTACTCCGACTGGTGGTATGTCTGGTGCCTCACCTACTTTATGGGAACACACAAGGATGTCTTCATTGTACTGAAGAACAGTCTGAAATGGGTTCCTCTCATTGGACCAGTACGTGGCATCCGTGAACTTGAAGCTCCTTTTGCTAAATAATGACAAGGCCATGCAAATATTCAGATTCATCTTTCTAGCGCGTTCGTGGGCCTCTGATAGAATACAATTGTCATCAAAACTCGCAAAGCTCGGCCGACAAGCGGAACAAGAAGACAAGCCATTCACATTCATACTATTTCCAGAAGGCACCCTTGTGAGTAAAGATACGCGGCCTATCAGCAGGAAGTACGCAGACAAGCTTGGTGTTGTGCGTTTTCACTACCATTCTGAGTAAAGTCGATGATGAACATGTTTTCTCTAGCCTGATCCACTAAATATCTTGCTTCCTCGGTCGACGGGGCTTCATTACTGTCTCCGCTCACTTGTGTCGCGCGTGCCATCTTTGAAATTGATAGACATTACGATGGTATATCCAGGTATGTTCCCAGTCACTTGAATATTCCGCTAACCATCGTTACTGCTGCCAGGCATACCACCAAAAGGATACGGACAATCTTTCTACACACTGCGCTCGATATTCTGCGACCGCGTACCTCCGCCTATTATCCACATGCATCTAAGAATATTTGACGTCGCAAAGGATGTTCCCATAGGAGACATCTCAGGGACGAGTCCCGCTGTGACTCCCAACGGAACTAATCACGAGCCTGTTGAAGTGGACTTTCCAGAACAAGAGAAGACCGTCTTTGATGAATGGCTCAGAAAGTTGTGGATGGACAAGGATGAATTTATCACGACGTTCCATCACTCAGATAGCTTCCCCTCTGGTCACCATGGCGCTGTCGAAATCCCACTGGAACTAGGGAGTAAACGGGAGATACCAGTTGCTTTCTGTTTTTTTGTTCCAGTGGTAGCATACGTATTATGGTCGAAGTTGGTACAGGTTCTTTTATGACGGTTTGTTGTACTATGTTGTAATTTTCGGAGTTTTTGATGTACTAATACTTGACAAGTTCTGGGCCCGGGCTGGATGAGGTGAGGTGATATAAATAATGAAGCGGGCAAAGCGGAGTGGTAAGTATGGAGTCGCAGCTCATTGCGGGCGTTGTGACTCTATAGTTTTGATGATGAATAGACTAGTATCCATGAAGCGGTCCACACAATTCAAGAGACAGCTCTCCTCCCCACGAGCGAAGCGAGACCCTGGAGTGCCGGTGACACATCTGCATCAAATAATTTATCAAAAGAAGGGTCACGAATGTCAAGAACGGAGACTGACTTGTCCCAACACATGCTTGTTAGGTTATGCACGGTTGAGTTGATGCGGGCCTGGGCTTGTTCTCGTTCTAAGAACGTAGCCAGCTCTTTCTATAATAAAAGTCTGAGGATCGATGAGAGCTGTTAAGTGTAGCCACGTACTTGGGTAGCCTCGTCGAACTTGACGTTGTCCATGTGGTTAAGGACAAATAATACTAGTTTGTAAAATGAAATTGCTACGAGATTGTATATGGAATAAATTTCTCACGTTTGATTCCGCGAAGGTTGAATTTGCTGGTTGGTTGGTTGGCAAGAGGAACTCATCGATGCTCATCCATAAGTTAGGTTCACTCGTCACAACCCAATGAACATTGTTGCGATGGTTTAATTTTCTGGCGATTGGTCTAGGACCTAGTATTACATGGGCGCTTATGTCGACATGGCTTAGTCCAGGCCCCGTGGCACTACACGTGAGATCCTGTCAATTGAGCATAACCTGTAATACAAATGGTCATCATCAATAGCAAAGATTGCTGCCTCATGTTTCTTTGCATAAGTAGCCCATCCATCCTCTCCAGCTTTCATATATCCTCCAATGGCTTCAACTTCCGACCACCATCTCCAGCCTACTACTAACTGGCCAACCGAACCTCCTCCTCTGTATGTTTCCATTCCTCTTCACTAACGTAGCTCATTGTTTAAAACCTTCTTGATGTCCTCAGCATGGGATACCTAAGTCGTAAAAGTCTTCCCATAAAGCGCAACGACGCAGAACCTCTCACTCGAGAGGACGTTCAGTTCGATCTCCTTTGCCATATATTCAATGACAGGCACAAAGTTTTCACCCCCCAAGCTCCCAGCGAGGACCCCAAGGTCCACTTCTGCGATCTCTATGTCAATGCATTATATATGTCACACAAGTGCTCCAAAGTCCTCAAAGACAAGATGGCCGAGACGCCTGCCTTTGCAGTCGAGCTTGCTAAAATTTCTCTTCTGACAAACGTAGGGCGTATCAATACTACTATGGCATGTAAGTCTCCATCCCGCTTCATTCATTAAACGTGCTCATAACGAATACAGTCTTTCCAGAAATGAAGACAGCCTTACGGACTTATCATCCTGTACCTTCGCTTCAAAAGACCGATGGTAATGCCCAGGATGCCCCGCGGATCAAGAATTGTCTCAAGGCTGCTTTGCTCCCATCTGAGCTCAAGAATATGCCTCCGTCTACTCCGGAAGAAATCTTGCAGAAGAGCGTACGCGAATTCATCACCATGGTTCTTCATACAGCAGCTCATCTCCATACCGCCAGAGGGCTCATCAACTTCCATCTACAAGTATTGTGAATTTAATATTTGTTCTAGCAAACCATGCGGGCGTAAGGTTTCTGTTTGAGTTCAGTCTCCTCGCACTAACTGCTCGTCAGCCGCTTGCAAGTACTCACTTCGATCCGCCCCTGAACTTCCTGGATCTTTTTTTGCCCATCAACATAGCTTCAGCTGACCGCGCGCGCGCGTTTCTATGGCTCATATTTCACTATTTAGAGGGCCCTGATCAGCCAAATCCGTACGACGATGACTACTCTCGTCAACATCCCGGCAAGGTCCCTTGGCTGCATCGTCTCACCGAAGAAGAGATGGCACAGGAAAATTTAGACACAGCCGAGGAAATCGAATGGGGGAAAGCGATGTCAGCACAGAGAAACCTCTTTCTGCAAAGACTCGTCCACTCTATCGAAAGAGAGAAAAAGGTCAAGGCCGCTGCGTCTACTTCTAAATGTGCGACTATTTGTCGATCGCTGATTTAGTTATCTATTGACTATTTGTGCAGTGACTGAGCCCACTTCTGGTCGTTCAAAACCTTTCAGGTCACAGCAAGAAGGTGCCAGGGACAAACCTTACGTCCATTATTTTGCCCCCGACCGTGCACCCCGAATTGCTCGTTCTGGTATGCTCTTCCTTTTTCGTGCTTTTAGGTATTTCGTTCTCATATCCCTACAGTTAGCGAAGACCATAGAGTTTGCTACGATAACTCTCGTGGATCTCATAGAAATATGCTGGAACGTGGGTGACAAGTAGTGTTTCATGTACATTGATGTGAATGGGGGCCACTAGATGCATGGCAGGTCGTCACTTCTACCGATCCCTTGGCAGACTCGGATGAAGAACTACAGGACGAACATGTTAGACTTGACTACAGTGAGCGACATTTACCCATCAGCTACTATGGTCTCAATATTGACGTTGCCAAGGCAAACGTGTAGACGTCATTGCTCGATTGCGTGGGCGGCCCCCGTCTCCGCTTCCAGATCTACTGCCATCAGCCAGCAGCACTAGTTCATACCCACCACCTAGCAGTATCTCTGACACCCGCGAACACCGGTGGCGAACGGTAGAATGGAGGTAGTTCGCAGTAACGCGTCCCACGAATAGGAGGTAATCGAGTACCGACAGCCCTTCAAGTTGTGTGCATAATACCCATACCCAAAGGGGTACACCCCTTCCGAAAAGTTGTACTCATACTAGTAAGAAACTACTAATGGCAACACGTAAATGATGGTGTGAGAGCGTATGCAGTGGTGTCGAAGGAGCGCACGTGTATCAGACGGGGTTCGCGATTGTGCAACGCGGTGTGGTAAAAAGTAAAAGAAGCAGCGGATTTGTGTCCAGACGGTTACGCAATTCCGTGTCATCAAGACATGCGGTGGCGAATCTACACTAAGGGAAAGACTAGGTGCAATAAGCTGTCCATGGAAATAACCGCACGGCAGTACCAAGATGAATGTCTGTGTTCAGAAAGCCCCAGGCAACGACATAATTGGATGCCCGAAGCCTGAGCGGCCTCTTAGTTGCATCTCCGCGGGAGCGCTATGTCTCTTTGGCCTAGGCTGTGCAAGGCATGGGGGAGGAGACGTGCGACGTTTGATAGTGGTAATCATTTCACGAGCAGTGTTGGCTCGGCCAAGGGCATGCATATTGGACTCGGTGAATGCGCACATCGCATTACCACGAGCACGGGAACTGGCTACCTCGATGTTCGGGTAACAAGGAGAGTTGGGCATGATGCTCGCCCGCATATAAGATATAGAGTCGCTACTTTGACGGCGCCTAACGGGCATATGTAGTCTGCCGATGTTGATACTAGGTTTCGTGTCTGAGATAACCCGTGTAGGCGACGAGATCTTATCGTTCCTTAGGAATGTGGGTAGACGGGGTGTTACGAAGGTAGGCTCATTGGCTATCGATGGAGGATGGGATGGTCCGACACGGGCGATGATCTCTTCCAGCGATGGAATTTTGCGTCTAGTGCCAAACTTCGGGTCTGCCTTGGGCTTGCTGATAGGTAGACGACAATCCGTCGGTTCGAACCAGGTGCGACGCTCGAGGAGGTCTTTTTCAATCCAACCATCATGCCCCTCGGCAGACGAGTATGACAACGGTGAGCCAAGGCCGAGAGATGAAAGTGCGCAATGATTAACGCCAGGGAACTCCACAGGAGTTTTAGAACCTGTAGTGGATAACGTAGGTTCCTGAATTCTTGACAGAAAGAATGCACGACGCTCGACTTTGAATAAGCGCATAACGGAATGAGATCGTAACTCATTCATGACACCGATCCATTGACTCACGTTGTTTATTTCTCTGGTTCTTAATGGCAAGTTCCTTGCGCAGATCTGGGACCTTTCTTGAACCGAGCGCAGCTCTCTTGTCACGCGATACTTCGAGAAGCAGATCAAACTGATCGCGATGAAGCTCTCTTGGAGGAGGACAGTCTGCAGGACGAAGAGGAGACGAATGCCTTGGGGATATGGCTGGAAAGTGGTATTGAGGGCTCAATGGTTGTGGACGGCGCCTGCAATCATCCGTGTCTGTGTTGCCTGCGGAATGAACTTGAAACGGGGAGTAGGGCTCTGGATATGCCTTGACTGGCGAAGCAGGCGAAATGCGGATGTGAGGAATGGATGTACCGATGGCGGCTAACATGGCTTGGGAGGGCGACCGGCGCCAACTGTAAAAAGAATGAAAGAATGAAAAGAATGGAAGTTTGTCAGGTAGACGTATAAAAGGAGCGGTAAAGGTGGCAAACACGAGGAGTTTCGCCACGCTCGCGAGTCGCAGTGATGTTAGTACATAAAGTTGTACCCGGCCGCACTGAAGTACTCACTTCTGGTTTATCTTATCATCCAGATTTCACTTGGTTCCATGGAAAGACAACAACACTGTATCCTGCCAACGACTCGGAATTATAATAGCACCGCTTTTTCATGCCAGCTAGTACTTCCCAACGCCAAGCACTTCCCGGATTCACACAGATAATATACATTGTTACAAGCCGTGGTATCTCCTACTGCAACGATAACAAGGACGACGTTATGCATATGTTTCACCAGCCTGAATCTCAATTTTTAGCGTAACAGAATCACAGGCCTTCCGCCACAACTGCCTCTTTTTGCTTCTCGTGGAACAACTTCTCTGCGTCAGTCCAGACCTTTGCAGTCCTTCGTCGGGGAAGTTCCAAGAGTGATGGTAACAGATCGTTGCTGAACTGTTCAGAAGCCTCGCGGGGCAACAGCGTTGGTAGGTGATCGATTGAGATCACCGACAACAACGGTGAATTTTGTCTGGTACGCAAGTCAAGACATTAGCTGGTTCAGGGAACATACCAAAGATACGCACCTGAGATCAACAGGAACAGTTGGTTCGGAAAAGGTTGTGTTTATACTGTAAATTGGGATGGGATTGAATGGGTTCGTCGTGTCGCAACTGACATCCACAACTACCGACAGCCGTCTAGCTTGGCCGGCAGCGATAATTTGGTCATGGCTCAAGAAAGGCGGGATCGAAGATGACAGATAGATGCAATTGACAAAGATATCCACGTCAAGGATTTCCTGGAATGGGCCACCTTTGGCAGTCTCAGCCATATCCCACTGTAATATATCGTCCCTACGAAGGCTTGTCAAGATATGCACAGTCTAGCTTCGCGCGATTACTCACTCAGCCAAACCGATCTTGCGGAACAAATCCACAGCTCCGCGTCCGCATCTTCCGAGGGCACCGATCACGAGAGCTTTGACGCCTTTGGCGCTGCCACCGAGTGTGTTCTTGACACCTTCGATCATGGCAGTCTCGTTCTCGTAAGGTTCCAAAAGACCCAACTTTACTCCTGATCGTTGTGCAGCCAAAGCGAGTGCACCAGCGGCAGCACCAGCAAAGCCAGCGTGATATCCGAAAGCAGCAACACGCCGACCAGTAGCATCGGTGAGGAACTCCAGATCATAGAGTGTACCTCCTCCCTTATAGAAGCGAGCAAGCACAGATGACCATCCTGCTTGACGCTTGTAGCAGTGGGCAAACTGAATGTGTGTGTGGGGCAGGGGCTCTTGAGATGCTGGGAGCTCCTTCAACCCGATAATAAGGGCATCTGTAGGGGCCGTGGGCCATGAGCTATTGTCCATCAACGTGCAACCAACACTACGACGCGTGTTTAGCGGACGATAACGGCTATATCATTCGCACATACGCTTCGAACTCGGCGTCATCGAAAATCCGTTGTTCATCACGTTCGACACTGATTTGGAAGCCAGCATCGATCAGCTTCTTCGCCGTGGTAGGCGTGAGGGCTGAGCGACGCTCAAACTCCTTCTTTTCGCAACGAAGCCAAAGGTGTTGGGTAGACATCGAGGTTTACACTCTGGTTTGTTCCGACTGAACAAGTATTTAATAACTAGTTGCCTAGTCAGGCAGAGTCAAAGTGACTCGGCTTTAATTTTAAAATGAGATGTACGGTCACATGACTCGACGCGTCGTGAAACGCGTGAAATGATTTCCTCTTAACACAATTAGCACGTAGAGTCATAGGCGACTGCATATCTAATTGGTGTCGCACACAAAGAAAATCGAGAATGGTAATGGCAGTACCTGCCAATTCAGTTATAGCTATAAGGCATATTGGCAAAGCTTATAGTATTAACTCGGTCTGCTACTTAAATATAGACTACGCACGATGCAACCTTACTCTTGGCAACGAAAAAATCTAGAGACCCTGTTACAATAACAACGTTTTCTCTCTGTCTGAATCAGAATTGCCCATATAACTTTGTTGCAGCCTCCAGCTTCCCACCCTCGAACTTTTTGTACCGCTCGACAGCAGTCCCCGCTGGAACATACGGGTCGCCTCGAACAAGGCCCTCCATCGTCTCTTTCGTGTATTCTTCAAGCGCAAGCCAGAAGCGAGGTAGTCCTTGCGTTGTGCCCTGGACTAACGCACAGATAAGGAGACAGTAGAGACAAAAAATGAAAAGGAACTCACAGCCGTGCAACTCCGATTCGACGAATCTTCGCGACAATGAAAACTTTGATGACGAAACAAATGGAGTCACTCACGGAGGAATAATCTCGACCACGTGAACATTCTTTCTCTTGAGCTGAACAGCAAGTGAGATACTCAAGCTGTGGAGGGCAGCTTTCGTGGCGCAGTAGTCAGGTACTCCAGCAGCGGGGAAGATGGACAATCCTGAGGAAACTGGGTACAGGAATGTCGGACGGCCTTGCTCCTGCCCAAGGGTCAGCGGATGAAACGAAAAGAAAGATGCTCATACCCCAAGCTTGATAAGATGAGGAAGGAAGAAGGTGATCATCCTCACAATTGAAGTGTAATTGGTGGCGAGTTCACACTCGAGAGCTGATCGAAATTAGTGTGTCACGGGTGCACGGTAAGATCTAAAATCTACAGTCGAGATCAATGGTATCTGGCTTTGTAAAGTCGAAGGCACGTTGTATGCCGCTCGAGAACAAGACAGCGTCAAGCTGAACAGCTGGTCAGCTGGTTCACAGGGTACAGTGCTAGGGGCACATACGTCTGGGTAAGTGTTGACGATCTCCTCGATAGAAGATTTGAGAGCGTCGCGCTCTGACAGAACGTCAAGAGTAACACTCTTGAGTCGTCCTGTGGCATGATGAGCGGCAACAAGTTCTTCGAGTCTTTCCTTGCGGCGCCCGCAAACAATGACAGTTGGCTTAGAAGGGAGATCCAAGATTGCAAGGGCAAGGGAACGACCTATCCCTGAAGTGGATCCAATGACAAGGACACATTTGCAATCGCTAATGCTAGGCATGATAGAAGAGCAGATTTTGTAGTTGTAGACTGAGAGTAGCTGGAGAATGAGCTGACCTTTATAACTACGCGATCATAATCTGTCACGGTAATCTGTTGTCATCATAGCCACTCACCAACTCTGTGGCAGGGAATGATGCAACGATACCATAGATCGGATGATGCAGATCTGCATTGCCACCTGGGACAGTGCTCAACTCCCTCGAGTGCAATATGCGTAGGCTGACACTTGTATCAACCCATCCTTCCACCAACACAATATGATTGTATAAGCTTCATGCAAGGGGACTGAAACTTTGAGTTTTACACTGAACTAAGGACATTGTCACTTCGTGTTTACAGGCGTATTTCATTGAAAAGATGTCGATTACCTGAGCACTTCCTGTGACAAGCAGCTTGGAGCCGTTTCCAACGTCAGAAAGTCAACCGCATAAAGCACAACTTGTTAAGGTCAGACGACTGGCACAGGGAAGGAGATGCAGCACGGAAGTCTGGGGACGATGCAAGCTGGCAGGTAAATGTCTTTTGGATGTTGCAGCTCAAGCGGTTGTTGAATATTAATATTGAATGGTAAAGCTGAAACTGCAGAGTAGTGGCATGTAACCCGGATGATATTGACGAAAACCATCGTAAGCAAGCAAGCTGTTCCTTCTCACGGTAGTCTCAGATCTGATAGCTCTACTCAACTAATATTTGTTCGCTCTGAAGCAGGTCTCGTGTTGCCTTCCGTATGCAACCGCTCAGTGAAATGCAAGATCATGCACATGTGCCGAAAAGTTCACAATGTACCAGACTGGTCAATGATCAACGCGGTTTTGGTGAAGCGCTAAAGCAAGAATCAGTTATCGATTGAATTTGCCACATGGGCCTCCTCGAGGCTACCTCTTTAAATTTGAAGCTTTCAGTCTACCTCCACGATCCCTCTAACCCACCCTCTGATCCCTGCATACACCATGCTCAACAAAATGCCTATGCCTACTGCTGCAGACATCGCTCGCATGACGTACAAAGGGGCAGAACAGCTCCGGAGCGAACAGCGTCCAGGAGGGGACCCAAGTAAACTGGACTTTGGGACGGTACCGACCTGCTATAATTGTGACATACCTATCATGGATCGCAAAGTACGTCCAAATGCTTACATTCTGGCTTATGATTGACGTCGAGTCATTAGCCCTTGATCTGTTCGGGTTGTAGATCCGCTGTATTCTGCTCGAAGAATGTCAATCTACATCTCTATCAACACCTACGCACCCGCTTATCTTAGACTTTTCAGTGTCATACTGCAAACTGGAAGACAGGGAGGTTTGGAGCACAAGGTCACAAATTCTTTTGTGCAAAGAATAAGGTACGAATGATCAGTTCTTGCCTGAAGTATACTTTATTTTGTAGTTTTTGACGAATTCGACTTCAGGTACATATGGAGAAGGTCCCGCAAGTGCAAGCCCTTCTGAAGCAATTTCCTTGGGGTCGCATCGAGACGGATGGCACCTTTGCCGAACCCATTGTGCGCGCCTATTACCATGTCTTGGGTGCAGAGGGCTTCGGCTACTGGAGCATTCCTGGAGGCTCCAACGCACACCTTAAACAGCCTCGGAGTAATACTTCCGACCCATCTAGAGCGCTTCGTGTCGACGATGCAAAGGAATTTGAACACGGCTATATGCTGCTTTCAGACAAACTGTTGACGGATGAGACTGGCTGGAAGTTGGAGAAGCGTTTGATCCCCCGATTGGTTTTTGAGCTTGGCACGGAGCCCGAGCTTGCTTCCAAGGTGGATATCGTGGACTGGGACTCATGGTACAAGTGGCGAAATATTCCCAGGGAATCACCAGCAGCCTTGTTATTGCATTACCCTCTCACCGTATACCAGCTTTTGGTGAACGTGCTCCAGGTCGCAGGGCCCAAAAGAAATTCTTCAGAGAGTCGACAGGCACTTAACGTACACTATATTGGCGCCGAAGTTGAATTGAATATGCTTCCCCTGTATGTGGGGACTTTTCGGTGGCTCATCATTTCCATGCTGATCATCATTATCGCGCTAGATTCTCTGAACTAGCGTTGCTGCTTCCTCACACAGACATCAAGATGACTTTCTTCGGCATCGCAGTCCACTCTATCGTTAGTAAGGCGAAGAAGAATAGCATCGTTATGAAGGCGAAACAGAACGAGCCAATTTACACCTACACCAGCCCGGCATCTTGCGGAGCCAGCACTCTGTCCATTTTTCTTCATGGAGATCATGAAAATTGGGACCCGCGGCTCCCTTTACTCCTAAACAGCAAACCGGACGCTATCGTCGGTCTGAATGCTGGACTCACCAGCTATCCAGAGTGGCAGTTCGTCATTTTGTCTTGTCATACTGACAATACGCCCTTCGCCGTCACCGAATATGCAGAACAATCTGCCGAACTTCAAAGAGATGCAATTCCTCAGATCATTGCACGTGCCCTCCCTCGCTTACACTCAGCAGGCATGAATGGTTTGGAGCTTCACAATTTCACACGACCCAGAAAATACCCTATCGCATTTAATCCGTTTCAACGTCCTGGACAGAGAAACTTGGGCTCGGTGCATTTACCAAACGTACCGAACGGGTTCACGATGAGAGTGGTTGGTAACGACGAGCAGGAGATCATCCACCCGGTATCCGCTGGCATCCCTGTACCGGCTTCCGACTTGAGTGAACTACTCCAGAAGACGGAACAGTTTTCGCTGAACGGTTTGGACTGAATATCTTGGCACATGTATCCGTGCTCGAGATGAGTTAGAGGACGAACATTACGTTGAGTAGGCAATACTGTTCATCACATGTCCAGGGAATATGTAGTGACTGGTTCGACTCATGGCAAGGGTCCTCCCCCCTTGCCATGACCAATTTTCCGAATACTAGCTGCCGACTTACTAGTAATCAGTCGGGCGTCTCATGGCAAGAGAGAACTCACTGGCAAATCAAATCACGAATTCTCTCCTTCATAACGCTCTCCGATATTAATGGCTTTCTCTTTACAACAATACACATCGGCATAGTTCAACGTTCAACAGGGGATTACTCTAGTGCCGAAAAGAAACTTGGCTAATACTAGTAATAGAGAATCGTCGGCATTCTGCAGTATCTCCGTTCCCCAGACCAATGGAAGAATAACAGCAAAAATTTAACTATATGTGACAATGTGTCACTTGTCCTGGGATTCAAGGGCTTCGAAGGTATGTGGCAGGTCATGAATATGACGAGTCTGGTTTCGAAATAAGCACTGGTTGGCTTCAGTATTTGATACCACTGAGGCGGGCCTTTCTTCTGCAGCAGCTCCTTCAAAGCTTTGTATTCTTCCTCTGACGGCGCGGTGGCTGGTAATCTGTCGCAGGGATCGTTCGAGGAGAAGGCAATACACCAAACTTGTGCCCTTTGAAGGTCTTTACACGACGAAATCTGGCGCTACGCAAAACGCCTGCATGCCCCATGATATTCAGTGCACCCTGGAGAATATTGTCCCTTTGATCTTCCGCGGTCTCGGGGGTGCATGACCCATCTCAATGGCTCGCTGGGCAATATTTGAACATGACTACGCTGCCTAAAGCTTTGGGGAGGCCTGCTTGCAGGCTTCATGAGCTGGTAACCGGCACTTGCCGTATCCGATTTCCGAACGATCGCGGGGTTTAACTTAGTTGAATCAATTCGCGACGCGGGTCAAAGTCAACCTCCTGACTCAGCCTCAGCGGCTTACATATTCGAGGCCCCTCTTTCAGACTGGGGTATATGAGACATGTTGACGAGTCTTGATTCCTGAGTCGTCGTTCACTTGCCCTCGCAAAGCACCGATATCATTTGGTTATCTCTTCCGGAGCTTCCACGCCTACTGTGACCTCACCGCGCCACACACAAACCAACGCTCAGCATTCACCACCGTGACTTAGCATCTCACACACCATGCCTACTGCAGCTCAAGCTGACAAGATAATCAAACCAGCACCCTCACTTCCACCCCCATCCAAGAAATTTGGAACTCATGAAGGTGCATGCATCAGAAACCTGGAGGAGGGCATACAAGATACAAATTCAGTTCAGGATATCGTTGACAGTAGCGCGCGTCCATCGTGTGATGATGTTCTTCGCCAGTCCTTCCATTCTGAACTCCTTACCCCCAGTATGTCCCATGATGAGTGAGGTGTTTTGGGTTATGTTCTGATTGGGTTGAAGCTGCAAGGGAAGTGTTAAGATATTTAATTCTACCAACTCATAGTCAAAGCCTCATGGTAAGCTGTCCTGTGAGCCCAGCACTAACATGCTTAACAAATATGATAGGAATTTCCCGGCGTGGGACCGCGAGAATTCAAATTGATAGAACACGCAGTTGGAGAGACGGACCGAATCTTGAGGAAATCCAGGTGAGTCGAACAAGCTATCTGTTTGAGTAATGCTTAACTTGGCCAAGCTTTCTTACGACTACAACAAACGTCTACTCATCGTCGACACTCCCAGCATCCTGCACGAAAGGTTCTTCGATCATTTGAAGGACGCCATGGCTGCATACTTTCTCTTCCTACCCTACGATCGCGAGCTCATCTCTCCCATCCTCTCCATGAACTATTCGCTGAAGCTGAGAGATCGAATAGTTACGCCTGATCTCACCATGACCCTCACTGCGGTGGATGAAGCTCCAAAAGTGGTGCTTGTTCCATGTGTAGGCGAATGCGGCTCATCTGAGAACAGGGCGCATGTCTTTGACAAAGTAGACGATGAGGTCATCGCGCATCCAGAAGCCGTGTTAGCAATCATAGTCCTTATCCGCGAAGCGATTGCCTACCGGTCTCCTGAGGACATTTCAGTCGCATCGATTTCACTCCGTAACGGTCGCCACAACCCCGAACCACTTTATCTTGCCGATTTCCTTCAGTTACGCTCTACGCCACGAGGGTTCAACCAACCAATCAGGATCGCTAATCACGACTGGGCTCACCTGGCTTCCGCGGAGTTTTTCGTATGGGTGAAAGGTGCCAACCAGGCTCGAATTGACGTGCGCGATACTAATCCGCAGTTCATGGCCCACGGCGTAAGTTACTGCGATTCTCCTTGTGGCGTCGAATCTAACTGACGAATGATTACGCAGACGTTGGGGTCGGTCTTGCAGATGGGCACTGTCAGTACTATGCTCCAAAGGGGGATGGATAGGATTAGGGACATGATGGTCCAGTTCTCAAAAACCCTCGATCATACCGGAGATTTCTCTGCGCTGGAAGAAGCTGATGTTAGGTTACCCTTGAACTGGAGCCTTACCGCAAAGTCTGCCCTCACCGTGGCTGATCTTACTGCTCATGAGCGCTATGAGTCCTGGCATGACGTGCGGTTCAAAGGTGCCAAACGCACCAAGTAGAATCACGATCCAACTTATTGTCCTTCGGAGTCAGATGGTGGCTCATCGGAGTCGGCTACTCCTGCCACTCATACACGCTCCCATCGCATTTCTCGTGCACGTCTCCGCAAGCGCGTGAGCACCTCCCTGCCTCTCCCCGCGCAAGTCGAGGATGATGATGAAAGCTCGGAATACTGACGTGTGACTCAGACTCGGAGGTTAGCACTTTGATTAGCATCATATCCGGTAGATGATTTGTTCAGAACACCGAGCGGGCATGGTTGAAATTTTCATTTGTACTACGTTTCTCAAATTTTGGCTTTTGCGTGTATGCCATGCAGCTGCAGATACCATCGACTACCGATATCCGCTGGCATTCCTGTACCAGCTTCCGACTTGAGCGAGCTACTCCAGAAGACGGAGCAGTTTTCGCTGAACGGTTTGAACTGAACATCTTGGCACCTATACATGTATCCATGCTGGAGATGAGTTAGAGGACGAAACATTACGTTGAGTATGCAATACTGTTCATCACGCGTTCATGGATTATGTAGTGACTGGTTCATACGTCCCTGACTGCTTCCACTGTAATTGATTAGCGCGATGATAGGTGTATCAGGTCACTTTGACACGCATCAAAGGGTGGGTATCCTTGGTGAACGGAATATCGGGGATGGCAACGTGCCCTGACTTGCAGTACTTGGTAATTTGATATGTTGGGAAATCAACTTCAGCCTCTATTGACACCACGTAGTTTCTCAACTGGGATTCAGATAGTTGAATTTATAATCTTCCAGCAGTACACTCCCAAATTCAAGAGAATACTTGAGAGAATAAGCTCGACGACAATCAATATACATTCAAAGTCCGGTTGCAGAGGGAGACTACGTTCCAGTGCGTGTCCTCTATGTCTGAGTCATCGCCCTGAAGTGCCCATACATCTTCGTCGCGGCCTCCAACTTCCCTTCCTCAAATTGTTTGTGTTGTTCGACGACCATCCCCGCTGGAACGTATGGGTCGCCTCGAACAAGGCCCTCCATCGTCACCTTCGTGTATTCTTCGAGCGAAAGCCAGAAATTGGACAGACGTTGCGTCGTGCCTTCGACTAACGAGCAGGTCAAGACATAGTACATCAAAAAACTGTTAAGGAAACTCACAGTCGTGCAACTCCGACTCGACGAGTCTTCAAGCGGCGATGAGATCAACGACAACGGAACAAATAGTCACTCACGGAGGAATAATCTCAACCACGTGAACATTCTTCTCCTTAAGCTGAACAGCGAGTGAGATACTCAAGCTGTGGATGGCAGATTTTGTCGCACAGTAATTGGCGATTCCGGCGGCAGGAACAATGGACAGTCCTGAGGAAACTGTGTATAAGAATGTTGGACGGCCTTGCTCCTACACAAGGGTCAGATAAACGAGACAAAATAAAAATAAAATGCTCATACCCCAAGCTTAATAAAATGAGGGAGGAAGAAGGTGATCATCCTGATGATTGAGGTATAATTGGTGGCGAGTTCACACTCGAGAGCTGACCGAAATTAGTATGTCATGGATGCACAGTGGGAGAGACCTACAGTCGAGATCAACAGTTTCTGGCTTTGTAAAGTCGAAGGCGCGCTGAATGCCACTCGAGAACAAGACAGCGTCAAGCTAGACAGGTGGTCAGCTCGTCTACAGGGTAGAGTGCCAGGGGTACATACGTCTGGGTAAGTGTTGACGACCTCCTCGATAGAAGACTTGAGAGCGTCGCGCTCTGAAAGAACGTCAAGAGCGACACTCTTGAGTCGTCCAGTGACATTGTGAGAGGCAACAAGTTCGTCAAGCCTTTCCTTGCGGCGACCGCAGACAATGACAGTTGGCTTAGAAGGGAGATCCAAGATTGCAAGGGCAAGGGCACGACCTATTCCTGCAGTGGAACCAACGACGAGGATGCACTTAGAATCGCTGATGCTGGGCATGATAGAATAGTACGTTTGTAGTGATAATTTGCTGAAAAAATGTGGAACGGAAGTGCTGACCTTTTACCTGCGACTTGAATCGTGAACCGACGTCATCATAGCCGCGATTCGGCATTCGAACGACGTCACGATGTGGGACTCATCATTTCAACATTTTCAGCTGTGTAACATGAGGAATGATTGATGATGGATGGAATTTGCTCTGCTAGAACACGTACTTGTTCGGCTCTATGTAGTCGGTCTATGCCAGTGATGAGTCACTAGTCACTCTTTAACGGCACGATTTATAATGTGCATGAAATAATGCACTTCTAACCAGCCGCACCGTATCATATTGTGAGCTCGAGGGACGTATTAGATACAACTCTAAGTTGGCAACTTGAATCCAACCCAAATTGGTCCATCGTAATGGCGGATGACCAGCATTTACCTCCAGATGCTAAGTCGACCCCATACGAGTCCATCGATGAAGACGAAATCAAGGTGAGCAGATTCAGGGTCGAATATTGATTACCTGATCAATTTGAACCGCAGAAACGCATTACCGAGGCAGATGAATTGAAGCAGGAGGGCAATGAGTCATTCCGAGCCAGTAGATGGAATGAAGCTCTCGTATCATACCGAACTGCTCTGAGTCGACTACCCAGACGAAAGCCTCAGCCTCCACCGGATAGCTCACAGGACGATACGTCCGATCACGGTGGTGCCCCGTCGGCCAGTTCGAGCAAGGCACCGACGCAAGAGGAGGGGCCGGAGCCAGCCAACATCTCATCTGAGCTCGAGGCAGAGGGTGCAAAGGCTCGGGCAGTGTTGAACGCCAACATTGGTGCATGTCTGGTAAAACTTGTATGTAAATCAATCCTTCATATTTTGGAGATCTCACTGTAATCGATCAGAGTGATCACAACGGTGCAGTTGAATCATGCACCCAATGTAAGTCGTCTGCAAAAACAGAAAGAATATTCATCACGTTTCGCTGTAGCATTGCTCGATGATCCTCACTATATCAAGGCTTTGCAGCGGCGAGCGGCTTCTAACGAACACCTCGGCACATGGTCGTCTTTGACACAAGCACAAGAAGGTATGCTTTGTTGCTAAAGGACATCCCCACGTATCTCAAACAAAAATCATCTAGATTACAAGTCACTCCTAGAATTGCTACCCCCTACGTCCCCTCAGATAGCACAGACCAAGCGGAGCCTGCAGCTTCTTGAACCTCGCCAGCAAGCAGCTCAGAAGAAAGAAATGGCCGAAATGACAGGCAAACTGAAAAACCTCGGTAATAGTATACTGGGTACGTTATCATTTTCCTCTGCAAACTGATAAGCCTGACGGTGTAACCGCCAGGCAACTTCGGATTGTCCACTGACAACTTCAAGTTTGAACCAAATGGACAAGGCGGTTACTCGATGAACTTTGTTCGGTAGTATTGATCTTGAATTCCTTCAAACCGCAGCATGTCACACTGTATTGACAATCACATCGTCAACATATAATGCCTGTCCATTCTAGACTGATATCCCGTATGTCAATGTTCAATGTAAGTTGCGTCCTTAGAGAAAATGGTAAATCGGTTGAGCGGGTAGATCTATGTGAAAAGTCTCGCTGTTATTGAATCTGTTGCATGAGAAATTTCGGTGCACCTACTCTGGCAGCGATTCTGCCTCTCACTAAGGTCATAGAGACAGGACCATAATCGCGCGAGTCTTTTGACCAGGCAGCGTTATCACCAGCAACCCAAATGTGCCCCTTGGGGATGACAACATGCTCGGTTGAATGAGCTTTAAGTCCAGTGGGATCGACACAGACTACATCGCCCGGAAGGCCAATTACCCTTTTGCAAATAATGCGAGAGGGATCAACGGGTGATGTCAAGGTTATGAGCTCCCCTCTTCCTAGTCGATTAGGAAACAACCGATGAGGAAGAATGCTTTCGAGGACCAGTTCGCCACTGTTGTCAAAAGTTGGAAGCATAGAAGGACCGGCCATCTATGTTTTATCAGAAATGTCGATGACGGCTGGTTAGATTCACGAACGAAACATAGGCCGGCGACATTTTCCTTGAAAAGATGAAAGGCAAAGCCGAAGTTAACGAGCTGGATGACATTAATGAATGTGCGTAGAACTAGTTGTTAAATACGAACATGGAGACATGTAAGACCGACTCTTTTGATGGCTGGCTCTACAAGGTGCAACCATGATGGAGGTATCATTGAAGCGAAGCATGTCACAAATATTTATGTAAATATTTTTACATCTCACGGTGTAAGTACTATACAATTTGAAATCGAGTAACCTCTTCAAAGTTCATGCAGGGAAGATCTACTGCAGGACGCTTATGATGTCGTCGTTCAAACGTAAAACACTGTCAGGTCGGGCTAACCTACCCCAAGGCACTCGCCTTTCTCCGTTCTCCACTTCTACCGTAATAACGTCAACTGGGATACCTTCACTTGATGATATTCTTGGTGGGGGACTACCTTTGTCCTGCTCTTTCGTTGTTCTTGCTCCCGATCATCATTCGGCATACGGAGAACTAGTGCAGAAGTACTTCGTAGCGCAAGGTCTCGCGTCTGGGCAGAAAGTCTGCATCATCCATGACGAACCCCTGAGATTTGCAAGGGAGGGCATCTGGATGACGGGGAGTACTCCATCGACGCCTGCAGAAGCCAGTACAGTTGAGGATGCGGATGATGAGAAGGCGAGTCAGCATGATGATAAGATCAAGATTGCCTGGCGTTATGAGCAGATGAAAAAGTTCCAGACTACAGTCTCGTCCAACTCGTATGTAAGTCCTCCACTCACACTGGATCATACTGAGTTGTTCAACCGATTATAGTCTTAATGATGATCTCTGCATGACATTTGATTTGACTTGCAGAATCCCCACTGCAGTCCTTGATGCTGCACGACAATCTGCTCAACTGATTCCGATCGATGTCGGTATATCTGACGGTGGTGGAGTAATCGAACAGATTGAGGAACTACTATCAAACAGCACAGACGCACACGCTATTCGAATATGCATCCCAGCTTTAGGATCGCCCCACTGGGGCGACATGCAACCATCAGTGAGACACAATCACCTGCCAACTTGAGGAGATCGTCGCTGATGCAATGATAGACTGTGTTGACCTTGCTGCACTCCCTTCGAAGGCTTCTGCATCGACACCCAAATGCTTGCGCTTCACTATCTCTCGCTCCTCATATGTGTACGGATACATGGGGAGGACCGGGGTGGGTTCAAAAAGTGGGGTGGCTAACTGATTCAGCAATCTCGATGTCGGCATTCGGCGGTGAGCATCAATATGTGCCCAACATAGATTTTCTGATGCTGACGAAGGTCACGTGTCAAGCTAACCCATCATTGTCTTCTCTTTTCCCTTCCCATCACGGCATCGTTCAAATTCTTACGCTTCCGGCCCCCCATACCATTCTCCCAGCCAGTGATAAATATTCCACTCTCCGCGGGTTGTCATCGGCTGCAGGGTCGACGGGCGGAAGCGGAGAAAATAACCTTGCTTTCAAGTGTATGCGCAAACGTCTTATCTTTGAGACACTTCATCTGGACTTGGAAGGTGGCGTGACTGAGCGGCGAACCACACCTTCCTCAAATGCTATGGTACTGGATGCCGGCATGGTGCATGAAACGATGTCCACTGCTGTCATGGGCACTGAAAGCAGAAAGAGTTCCCTTGCGACTGTGGAGGTTGAATTTGAACATTCCAAGGACGTAGTGTCCGATGCGCCTACGAGTCGGGTTATGACCGATGCCGATGACCCCCTTGTCCCTGCAAAGCCAAAGAAGCCAAAGAAAAAGGTGGCGTTCCGTTCTGAGCGCCCTGATTTGTACGATTTTTGAAGACAATTTTATCCCCGTTACCTGCACTGCTAAATCAATATGAAGAATAGGCATCTTGATCTATACCTAGGAGGGAAAGTGCTCCTCGTACACATGGGTGCTTCCATGCGGAACACGCTGTTGTGGGATTGACACGACGATCTGTAAATGGCAAAAGTAAGTGTTATCCATGGTGTGCAACGACGGCAACGACGACTGTCGAGAATGTCTGTCAATTTATCTGGAGTGACCCTCGTTACGTTGAATTGACGAGGAGTTCGGGGTCGACAGCTGTAGTCGTTAAGGAGTTAGTGGCTCTGGCATAATTGAATAACCACGGGATGACGTGTGAAATGTAGAAAATTGAGACTTTCACCCTTGAACAGCTGTGTGATGTAACCATGTTGCGGTGATGGAGATATCAGATGAGTGCATCGCACTGAGTTATACTGTATCTTTTTTTTGCACTATCAACTTAATTTATGGGAAATAAAACGTGTTTTATGTAACAACATGAGAGTTGGCTGCACTATGCCATATTACATTTAATCCAAGGGAACGTTTCTTCAAGTAGTTCATCTCAAGGTAGAGCAAGTAACCATCAAAACAGTCATGTAAGTCAAAGTTTTATTATGCTCCTTGTTCTGTTGACAAGTTTCTTGTCAGGAACGACCATCCCAACGCGCTCAGGCCAGCGTCACCAAGAGTTGGCTATACCACATTATACGAAAAACCACTACCACCAATGCCACCAATTCATCATCATGCACCACCAAGTTCAACCAGCTGGATAGACCCAGAGATAGTACCTGGTGAGTTATATCATTCAATGTAATGTTTCAATTCAGTGTATCATCACTTAACCTATAAGTTAATGGTTCTGCTTCCTCGGCGCTTAGTACAATAATTCTTGTTTTCGACGTTCATTACCCAACCTTTTTTTTACTGACTATTTTCAAAATTCCAGACCGGCCATCAACCGCCTTACCGCCTTCCAGCTCACTTTCTCCCAATCACCACCCCGGATCCCGCTCACGCTCCCCGACGCCATCTGTACCTGGTGAATCTGGGACCTGGTCCCAACATTACGGTACTCAGAATTTAACCAATATGAGACTTACTGCGGATACTTTAAGTCTGGACGAGTCTGCATCTGCTGGCATTCCCCTGGTACCAGGCCATTCGTTTCTACAAACACCTCTCGCACAGTCGGTCTCCGAGGGCGAATCCTCTTTTCGTTTAGATTCATCTCCAACACACTCATTTGCGCGACCCCCCAAGGTGCCACCGCTCCCCGATCCCTCTCAGTTCCCCGACCCATATCCTCAACGTTCCCCATATTCTCGCATGTCTGATAGGCTCTCTTCTACTCTACCTGCTCTCTCTTCCGAAGGTTCCTCTTCCGCATCCACACGTTCGTCTGCGTACACTAGCTCCGGAAGTGCACTCACATCGAGTGACTACGGCCATGTTCACGTCGCCACAGGAGAGGACGAGGAGATTGGTGTCGCAGTAGGAATCACATCCGAAGACGTGGACCAGATGCAGACTAAGACTGTTACTCCTTCGTCCGCAGGAAGGACTCCAATAGACCAAACCAGGTGGTCAGAATACTCAGCGAGCATTCGATCCAGGTCATCTTCCATCGGGCAAAATAACATCAACACTAACAGCGTGCATGAAAACGGCATGCCACGTCTTCGGGAAAACCCTAGCTTCGACATGGGTTGGCAAACAGTAGATGAGAGAGATGAAGTTGGTTTGACAAGCGACGAAGAAACTGATGACTTAGGCGACGAAGATGATGAGGTTGATGACAAGGAGGAGGAAAGGACATCTGCGGTAGTGATAGCTGAAGAAGGCCGCGGCCTCATTGTTACAGGCGAAGGCATCCCAATCGGCCAGCTACGTGTTGATCCAGGTGAGTGCGGGCGTCATTTACGACAGACATTCATCCGACTCACGACACCGCCTTCATCAGGAACTACACATCTACTTTTGGGATCGTCTAGCACCCCCGGTACCGTACCGACTTTCCTGCTGGGCGTCTTACCGCAAATATGCAATACCCTACTCGCGCTCGACATTTCTGCCAACTTCTTGAATGCGGTTCCTATTGCCCTTGCTTCTTGTGAGAACCTAGAAGAGCTCAATGTCGCGTCCAATCCTCTTCGAGTCTTGCCCGCGTTCTTGACTAATCTCACATCTCTGCGTGTACTCATCGCGGATTCTACTGGTATTGGTAGCCTTCCTGATTCATTATGCGTGCTCGACAAGCTTCACACTCTTAGCGTTCGGAGGAACAAGATGCATTCCCTGCCGAGCTGGCTGTGCCTCTTGCCTTCATTGCAGGAGCTTTATCTTGATGGCAACCCATTCCAGGGTCCTTGGCAAGCCTTGGTGGAGCCGCTGCTCGCTAAAACTTCGATGCCGCCACTTTATCCCCACTCGACATCCATTATCCCCCCTTCTCCCGCCAGCCTCACTGATCCATCTGTTGGGCTAGAGACAGACACGGAATCGGAGCCTACTAGTGCGGGTCCGGAGGGGCCATCAGTCTCTCAATTTGATGACGACACTATTACTCCAGCCCGAGCTCCATTCCTTGGTCGTTCCGTAACCTCCCCGCCAACCCTACCCCTCCCCAAGGCCGTTCCACGGGGTTTAATACGTACCAAGACTGCTCCAAACGGATCATTTTTCAGTTCAAAATCGCGCCCCAGAACTGAAGCGGTCGATGAAGTCAGGATGTCAAAGCGCGTGGAAGACTCGGGTTATTACACAGATCACGATCTGCGGAGAATGAAGAGCGCGGGGGAACTACGTTCATCTTTCGATCAACGTGATTCTCAGATCTCTCCGCAGGACTCACCCATCGTTACCCCTGCCCTCCCAGCGCTCCCGAACTATTCGACCTCAGCGTCCAGCTTGAATTTGCTTACCGTGGTGGGTGGCTCACCGGAATCTGATCGCTTGAGTGTACCCAAACGATACGCCAGTCTCGGCGTTTCTTCGTCATCTTCTACCCTCACGCGTAGTCCGCGGCCATCCTTACCTCATGCACTGTTCGATCCACCTTCAGGCACTCAAGAGCCCGCAGTTCCTGACTCCTCACGTATATCTGCCGTCGAAACTATTTCACCGGCGACTTCTCCGCGTCGAAAGCTAGCACGTGATCCGCCTCGATCTTCACCAGGTTATGGGGAGAGGAATAGCACTGCAAGGCAGTCCCAGTCTCACTCCAAGGACAGAGAAAAGAGCGGGCGATGGGGTTTCTTAAAGAAAATGTCGATGGGGAAGATGCGACCTGGACCCGACTCTCCTGGTCCTCCATATCGTCCGACCACTACGCACAATCGGACGTCTCAACCTGAGTCAGGGATTGTGTCTGCCTCTAATCCTACGACTCCGTTCTCAAGCACGTCGCCTCAGATTGACCTTCGCTTCTCTACTACAGAAATTTTTGGGCCGCTCACAGGTGGTGCTCATCCTATTGCTTTATCCCCACCAGAGCCAGAGAATGGGACCGAGAATGAGACTCCAACCTCCGAAAAGGCTTCCCCGATTCCGCCGTCTGCTATGCCTGGCAGTTTCCTTATTCCGTCATCTTCTCCTGCTCCGCGGTCATCCAGGAGAAGGAGCTTCTTACCAGTTGATGATACAGCGACTATTCCTTCTTCGTCCCCTGTTCCCTTTCTGGAATGCCTATCGGGCAGTAATGACGCAGATGAGCCCGGGCCCAGTATTTTATCAAGACCAATTCCGGACTCGGATGGCGTCGAATTTGCTACTCGGAGAGAGGAGGAACGAGCCCGAGAGGCATACACACGGGCTTTACGCTCTGTTATGGCATACTTGAAGGATATGAATGATCTCAGCCTGTCTCAGGGTGGTAATACCATCAGCATGTATTCCGGAGGGGAAGAGTGTTTGTCGAGTGGAATGAGCTCGCGCAGGCCTACGATCATTGAGAGGGCAAATTCCGACACGTCCGGAATGTCAACAATTTCTCGAGCAGGATCCATGTCTGCGCAGCTACGGTCTCCTGATACCATGTACAGTTTGCGCAGTGGGACGGCTTCGCAGACCGTCAGCGTTGCTGCCTCGGATTCTTCTCAAGATGAGCGGAAATACAAGGATGATAAGAGCAAGCGTGCACTTGTGGTTCGAGAGATTGTCGAGTAAGAGTTTTTGATTGTCGGCTATGGCGGCAATTGCTAACTGTGATACTTAAAGGACGGAGAAGACGTACGTGAAAGGCCTTCAAGAACTTGTCGACATATACATCAAGCCTAGTGCTGCTCCTGTTAACCTGATCAGCGGTGTTGGTTCTGGCAAAGAAACAACCATCCCCTCAGCAGAAAGGAAGATCGTTTTTAGTGGCATCGAAGCGCTTTTTTCATTCCACAAGGAAAGTTTCCTTCCGTCACTGGAAAAAGCAGCGGCTCCGCTACTGCAAAAGCCCCCTGGAATTGAAGACTTGGATCCGGACGGTCAATTGTCCGTAGAGGTAGCGACGGCTGTGGCTGGATGTTTCTTGAGATATGCTGCTTTCATGAGGATGTACTCGACATATATCAAGTAAGAACATGAATGTTTAGTGCTCTACTCTTTGCTCACAGGGTATGCGCAGCAACTTTGACAATTCTGTCCAGCGTATCAGATTTTGGTCGACAGATCGGCCCGTCGCAGGAACCGCCAGCCCAGGTCCTACCATAACGCCCTCCTCCAGCACTGCTCAGCTTGTTGGGCTTGGTCTTGCTATCTCCTCTCCTTCAGTCCCAGTCGTGTCTGATCCATCCTCTCCGAGTCATACAGCACATTTAACCTCAGGACAGCGGAAACGAATAAAACAGTTTCTGAAACGTTGCCGCATGAATCCTCGCCATTCACAACTCAATATGGAAGGCTATTTACTTTTACCAGTTCAACGAATACCACGGTACCGGCTACTAGTAAGCGTTTCGCATTGTCTCCAATGACATGATTAACCGAACATCTGCCTAGTTGGAAGAGCTTTTGCGGAGCACTCCACCATCGTATACCTTTTTAGATGACTCATTGGACCGAGCTCTGGCAGAAATATCTTCGTTAGCAAACAACATGAACGAAGGCAAACGCGAATCTGAATCTCGACGAAAACTCGTCCAATGGCAGTCAAGAATACGAGGCAAATTCCCCAGCCCTCTAGTGCAACCACATCGGTGAGTTGTGAAGGCAAGCACCAGCTTACAATTCTCTGACGCTTCCGTCAGACGACTCATCATGGATGGGCCTCTACTACTCACTAGGGTAGTGCGAAAGACTGTCGTTTCTTTTGAGACGTTCAATGCCCAAGGGGACGCCTCCGCTGTTCAAGTTGATTGCCTAGCGCCGGAGCTTAACCCCCGACCTCTTATCGGAATACTCTGCAACGATCTTCTCGTTCTCTGCAGAGATCCTAGCGACGGGAAGGATCCGATGTCTGCGGTCGACCTGTGGGCGGTGCTGCGGATGCAGACATTACCCCAGCCGGCAAGCATTGTCCATGGAACAGGTAAATTGATCTGAAATGTAGAAGTGTCGCCTATTTTAACATCAACCCCAGTTCTACGTCTGGTCGATAACAAGGCTATCCTGTATTTTGATGTTCCGACGCCTTCTGACGCTTTGAATTGGTTTAGAGGTAAATACAAATGCATACCTAGGCTCCATATCTTGGCTGACGGCGGATCTTAGCTATTAACCTGCATATACCTTCTGCAAAAGCATAGACGCTCAAGATTACTATCGTGCTTAGACCCTAGTGCCCAACCTCTGTGCATTCATTTCAGGCTCACTGGATGGGCACTCTGATACGTATATATACTGTCATTAAGTTTCCTGCATGTTGCATTCGGGGTTTCGTCCTCAACATTATCTTCCACTGTATTTCACACTCATCGCGCTCTTGACTCTCGTATGGCTAGGTAGAATACACGAGCTTAACTGAAATCATTACAAGTCCCGAAACTCGTTCCGCCGCGTCTTTTCAATTTCAATAAGCTGCAAATCTCACGAAGCGCAGGGCATTGCAAATGAACAGAAATTTGAACCCTCAAAAAACTTGTTCCTTTGCTCACGCTATGCTTTGTCTACAAGGACAAGGAACATTTCGATCAGCGAGACCATGATCAAGCTGACTAGATATTATTATATTTGGTAGTTGGCGGTGACATACAACAAACAATTGTAACCGGTATGTCGGACAACTGAGGGCTTACAAAATAGTGATATAAACTGACGGATAATCAACCGACTCGAGGTATTATTGCAGGTATAATTACACCTACGAGTGAGGTGACGTTAGTGATGTCAAAAATTGCCAAACGGGTCAGCTATGCTCACCAGCCATTGCCAAAATGCTTCCATCTTGTTCTTTGGTGCGGGTTCTTCATATGAGTCCGCCACGATTCCAGCTATATCGCTCGTAAAGTCCATGTCCGATGCAGCAACGGGCTTAGTGCCATAGTAGAAGCGAGCGCCAAAGTACATGATTGGCCAGGTAATGAGAAGGAGGTAGTTGGTGACGAAAGTTGCAGTGTTCCAATTTCCTTTGAGGAAGACGCTGAATCCGCTGAACTAGAGAGTATGAGACTCATCAGTCTAAACAGTATTAGTGGATATGGAAAGTTGACATACGAAACAGATGGTGATCGTTGCAAGTACTCCCCACCACGCTGCGAATGGCTGGAGATTTGTGTAATAGGGGAGCGTCTTGCGATCGATGCCTTGGACCTTCATGCCCTTGTAGAAGCGGAGGTACGTCACCGAAATACCAAACCACGTCATAAGGCCAGCGATGGATGTCATGTTGGCAAACCAGTTGAACACTGAGCCCGCACCCGTGGATACAGCCATGAAAGCAAGAAGGGAGAAAGCAGCAGAGAAGAGGACAGCAACGTAAGGCAACCCGTTGCGTGTGGTCTTAAGGAAGATCTTGGGAGCGTTTCCTGAGGCTGCAAGACCATCTGCGAAGTTCGTTAGTTTCGGCGAGTCAGCTACCAGACAAGCATACGCACAAATCGCACGAGATGAAGTGTACAAGTCACTAGATGAGGCGGACCATGCCGATGTTAACAGACAAGCATTAATGATCTATTTTGGTTAGCGATGAGAAATTTCAAAAAAAAAAAATTATGTGCGGCTCACTGAGGGAAGAGATTTAATTCCAGCCGTTTCGATAGCAATGACGAATGGAGACTGGGCGGCTCCACTGCTCAAACTGAGATTTGGGTTGTTGGATGGTACAAGTAGACCGATGACGAGCGTTCCACCGATATAGAAAAGTAATATACGGATGTATACCCGACGGATGGCTTTAGGCAAGGTACGACGGGGATTTTTCGCTTCTCCAGCAGCAATCTAAGTTAGATTCGTAAGCAATATACTTTCTACAAGCCTAGAATATAACGTACAGCAACAATCTCAGTTCCGATGAACGAGAAAGCAGCCTCTGTCAAAACAGCCCAAAAGCCAAGGAATTGACCTTTGGCACCTGAGATGCCGTTGTACTGGACGAATGGTCCAGGATTTTTCCAGTAGCGGAATCCAAGGCGGTCATGGTTCGGGCCACCTCCCAAATCGATGACTATACCGAGGATAATAAGACCAGTGATTGTGATGACCTTGATGGATCTGTAGTAACGTCAGAATGGGAGATCGGGATATAGTACTCGGTACGCACGCAAATATGAATTCGGCCTCGCCGTAAGCGCCAGCACCGAACATATTAATTGTGACGACGACGACAAGACATATTACGACCCATACTGAATTATTGACGCTCTTGTTCCAATAGTTTATCAATAATGCAGCAGCAGAAATCTCAGCTGAGATGATGAAAAAAATGTTAGTAGGCAGGCTAAAAAGTGCATTCGACTCAAGTACGTACCAGGTGCTAGAAAAAAAACAAGAGGTCAGCACTTATGAGAAATGTAAGAGGAAGAATGGGACGTACAGACGATGGTCCAGTTATACCAGTAATTCCAACCCATGGCGAAAGAGAAGGCAGGATCAACGAAGCGCTCTGCCAGTTTGATGTGACCACCAGGTACAGGGAGGTAAGCAACCTAGGGAAATGAGGATGAGGTATGTTGGATGTGGAACGAACATACCATTTCTCCGAGAGTGATCATGACGCAATAAACGATGGAGCCCATGACGATATAACCGAGCAAGAGACCGATGGGGCCTCCATTCCTCAGGGAGTTTGCAGTTCCCACAAAGAGACCAGTACCGATGACACCACCAATACTTGACGGGGGTGAGAATTGGGTAGAAAAAGAAGAGGATTGTAGATACCTGATCATGGCGATGTGACGATTCTTGAGTTTACGTTGGAGGTTGTGGGGGGAGGGCGCCTGCAAAGACTCTCCATCACGGTCTGAGGAATCAGACAATTCGCCTTTGCTTGTGCGATAGGCGGTAGGGTCTTTCTTTTCGTCACCCATTTTGGCGAGTGCTTTCAAGGGAGGAGGTAGGAGGAGGGGGGAAGAGATAAGATTTGAAGACAACCACGACGGATAGATATATGAGCATCTTGGGGGGGCCGTGGCAGTGACTGCCTTACGGATGGCTTGTTCAATAAAGAGACGGCGCCACGTCCTGATAAGTGACGTACCCGAATTAACCGAGCAGGATTAGGCAGGTCAGGTACCGCATGGCTTCTCCTCCATCTGAGAATTTCACTGGAAGGAGCACAGCATCATTTTTAGGTATCTCACGCAGGAGACAAGCTTCATATTAGCGAGCGTCGGCTGGTGGTTGCTATGTCTGGTTCCAGCAGAAAAGGCGTCAACTCTCAGAGTTGCTACAGCTAGTAGTAATTGGATTTTATCCTGACAAGACCCAAACAGGTTAAGACTTTATGCTGCCCGCAGCGGATCTTACATCATCTTGGCGTGCATGTGTTCAATCTGTCATAAATCACGTTTGGCAGATACAGGAAACTGGGGATCGGCTACAGCTACAAGGTCGCGAAGCCAACAGCACACGACTGCAAATGGTTGATATGAGATATGGGGGTTTTATCACGGCCGGTCCAAGGCGTTGAGGCACCAGTAACGGGAGCAGGCACTGATGATGATGATCCAGCTTAGTCCCGCCGCCCACGTTCTCCGTTTTGGGGATTGCCGGACCGGAGCTTCAATTTCACCGCGTAATGAAATACCTAATTTAAACTCTTTTTATTCCAAATAATCCCTTGCGGCAAATAAGACATTTCCGATTGCTGACAAGTTTACATTTATTTGGTTCCAACAAAGCTTCTCTCCTCGAGATCTACATCAAAGGAAATTTACTATATTAACCATGTGATTCAAACAGATATCATACAGAAACCGAAATCCGAAAAGCTGGGGTATGAATATGGTAAAACGTTCAAAGGTATTTCAATGCGACCAGCCCATTAATGACCCCATCCAAACAGATAGACCCCGCCATGATGGTGGTGTAAAATCGACGCTCGGTGCAGGTTGTAATGATGAGCATTGCCCAGCCAGATTACGTTCATGCAGAAGGTTGACGTTTGCTGCTCGCTTACTCTCCGATGACCCAGGATCTGATGTGTGGAACAACGGTATAAGTGCAGGTGCTGCTTTGCCGGATTGGCCCTTGTTGGTGCGAGCCTTCTTGCGAGGTGGAGGAATAGTGCTGCCAGTATCAGCAACAGGTACCGCAGGATTAGGGGAATTCGTCGCAGGCAGAAAGTTCTGAACTGGGTCATCTTCTCTTCGTCGCTTTAGTACCCCTCGACGCGGCGTGAGTACGATAGCCTGTTCACGACTATTTTGCACCAGCTCGTATTCTCCCTGTTGCAATATCCTGGGCCCTTCTGGTATATCTTTGTGCTCGTTCATGTGGAGCAACGCAGAAAATGTCCGATCTTCTGTTGACATCAAAGTATCCGACAACTTCGGATTATTTTCACACGTCGCGATGTACGCATTCTTCAGGTCCTTCAGCGTAAGATACCGCTCACGTTGCCGTGACCTCTCTATATGGTGGACGTATGGCGAGTATCCATCCCGATCCCGCTCCCGGACTAGATTGCCCCGTGCTATGCCTCTACGTTTCTTGGCCAGCAAATAGTGACGAACCGCCTTAATGGGTGAAACCTCGCCCCTCTCGACCAGTTCAGCATGAGGAAGCCCAGCCTCGCGACAGAGTGTGATGTTTTGTTGCCGAATACGTGCCGCGGTCAGCGACAGAGGTCTGACACGGACGGGAGCGGGAGGGACTTCAGCATTGTCGGGAAGATCTGAATACCACATGTGTACACGATCCCGAACATTGACCCGGGGCATCGTTGGCAATGAATGGGCAGTGGAGGAGACGCTAGTAGACGACGAAGGTTCTGGTTCATGACGAACACGTTTTAAGGGTCGGGAGTCGATTGAAGCAAGAGAGGTGTGGGGGGAGGGAGAGGGTGAAGATTCTCTATAACGCTTGCGCCCTGCTGATGAGGGCGGCGATTCGGGAAGTGCAGTCGAAGAGCGATCGACTGCCGACGTGATAGATGACGTCGATGATCCTGCTTCAGACACTTCTGCCCTGTCCCCAATCGGAGGTGGTGGTTGAGAAAGTGCCTCGTCAGGACAGGACTCTGCTAGAGACTTGAAGAATGTCTGAATAGCAGCCTTCACCTCTGATGTGCTCTGTCCAGGAACAACGATGCGTAGTGGGGGAGCGTCTGAATTCTTCATCCAGGTATCCTGCAAGTCATGAGGATGGACAGGCGGTACAATCTTTTCTTCCTCAGGCTCCTCTTCGTAAGGCGGAATGTACCCTGTGCGAGCTCCTTGTGAGCGACGTCTCCACAACTCATCCCTCCGTTTATTTCGTTTAGTACGCTGTACGAAAGCGTCGGTCTTCTCTATTTCACTCTCCCGAGCACCGTGAAGGTCAAGCTTAAACGCAAGCAAGCGCTTCTCGAAACGAAATTCTTCGTCCTCCGCTTTCTCTAAGCCCACAGATTCATCGGGATTGGTACTTCGACTCAGTTGGAAATCAATGAATGTGACGGCGCCGTCCCCACCGATGAGAACATGACGAAGTTCGATATCTCCATGCAGGATGCCTCGCGAATGGAGCATTTCAAGCCCTTGCATAGCACGCTCCTTGAGGACGTCGGGCATAGTGGGGGATGCCTCCATCCAAAAACTTTGATGAGGCAATTCCATTGCAATGCTGATCGCGCCTGGCAGGATGTGTACACCGATTATGCGAGGAACAATGACGCCTTGTAGGGGCTTCAGGTATTGTTCTGAGCTGTAAAGAGTCATCTATAATATAGACGTTCAGTAGACGAATAACTTGCACTACTATGCGCACGAACCTCGGAATTAAAACCGATCCAATCTGCTTGCTTGTCCAGATTCCATCTATTGTCATATTGAGTCGATGATCATCATCATTCGGGACATTTGCTCACCGTCGGCTGATAAAAGTGATCTTTCGTCCAGCGATAACACCAGTTTGTATATAGGCTGAGCACATCGAGCCCTCTAAACCATTGTGAGTAAGACGTACAAAGATTGCTACGCGATAAACGCACGTCTTAGAGATAACAATGTTTCTGTTTGCTGGATATCCTCCCCAGCTGCCCATGCATATGGACCGTGTGGCACATATATTGGGATATCCTTGGCGGAGTCCTCATGCAATGAAGACTTGCGTTGCGAGGTAGAAGACCCCTCTTGTGGCGTTGAATCCTCCTCCGTATCGCCCCAGTCGACCATGGCTGCACACCTCTCTACATCTTTTTGACGTGGCGTGGCACGCCGCAAAGTACTTGAGGAAGCTGGAGGATGATAGGGCGCAGTGAGGATCTCAAAGAACTGCGAGGTGTGGTCTATGCATGATGGCACGTCGAAGTCGCGTGGAAAGATGGATGGTGCGGCGTATGTAGGGAGTCCATTTACTGACTTCTTGTCATAGCAGCTTGGACTCGGAGACGGTATCCGAGAGACTAGCGAGGATGGGTCCGCCTCTGAGTGTGGTGTCTGCTGTCGTGCTAAGCTCATGATGAAGCAAGGACGGGGAGGTTGAACGCAAGTGGGAGATGATGCTGGGGGGAGTGATATGTGGTTCTCATTGTCCAATTATGATCGGTCCTTATAATCTGCTGTTGAAGTACAAGCGACCACAGCGTGTCCACACGCTTCGACGGCATTGTTTGTGGTTTGACCATCCTCAACACCTTCCTTTTTCGGACAAGGCGGTGTCCATCTTAGCGATTGCCTTGTTCTTCGTTGGAAGCGGACAGACAAAATAAAAATTATGAACAAAACTACAGTGGCTATAGGTACAAAATAGAAAAAAATATGCCTGTACAATTATTGTCAATGAGGTATAACCCATAGAATAAGACTGGGTGGCCATCTAGTACACGTGGGGGGTGAACAAGTACACATACGCCACAATCCTGGGTTTTGTGATAAAATATACATTAACTAACAGAGGAGTCCAGAGTCATGATGTGAACGCCCATGCTCCAGGCATACTTAATTCACGGGATTTTTTGGACATCAAGAAACGTTCAACGTTAGGGTCGTCCAAGGTCATCGTAGACATGACAAATGCTTGAGATGGCAGCTGCGGAAGGGAGTGAAATGGACGTGGCAACGAATTGGGGTTCAGCGTGGATACGGGCAATGACGTTTTCATCGGCACAGGTGCTTTGACCGCTTCGTTAACGTTGGCGTCGACAGGCACTACTGGAAGGAAATCCCGCAGTCTGTGGCAAAGCGCATCGGGTGATCCATTTGGAATATGGACATCACAATCCAAAGCGCCACAGACCCTTTCCCCATCTCCGACATGTAAGTCCAACCAACTACCCATCATCTCGTACTCTTCCACTGACACGCCACGAGAATCGCATGAAGTGTTAAAGGTATGCCGTTCAGCTAGCCATGCAGTTAGGGCAACAGAGTCTGATGATACAAGACTACCCAACGAAGCTCGTGAGGCAGAAATATCGTTGATCGGAGAACCCGGGCAAACTGGGGATGGGTTCCTCGCAACCACTATGTAGTCACCCGCGGATGGGACAGGGTCGTTGTTGCGATTCGTCGTCTTGAGATCTGAACGCCCATAGGAGAGTTTCGGGATCTTGCCAATGCGCGAGACAACGCTTTTGACGCTCTTTAGGCCACTCTTAACCGATTTCTTCAAGCTCTTCCACGAATTGGAACGCCTTTCCACATTCGGTTGTGTTTCTGTGGTAGAATGCGAACACCATGGCTCTGGTGCGACAGCTCCATTACGCGAGTAAAGAGGTGAAATGGGCGATTCTGGCATCAATGGAGGAAGAATGCGTTGCCGTACGGCAGGAGACCATGGAACATAAGGACTATTTGGATGGTGGAAGGCGGGAACCCAATGCGGTCCTTCATAAACCTTTTTGTTCTTAGTTTTACGAACAACCACTCGTCGAGTAGATGAGGTGTGACTAGATGACTGACGGAACAAGATACTGGCTGGGAGGGAGCGGGAAGACTTGTTACGACACTGACTTGCAGGCGAAGGAGATGTCAACGAATGTGTGGTGGAAAAATTGAGAAAGGAAGGTAGCTGCAGTGTGGATGCAGAGGGCACAGGAGGAAGGGGGCGAAATGACTCAATATTGCACTGTAAGCGGTTGACACGAGTAACGGGTGGATCAGGAGGAACAAGGTTCTGTCGCTCCTCGCGGGGCTTCTCAGCAGCGGCAGGTTTTTCCAATGATTTAAACTGTATTTTTGAAGACCCAGGAGCGTGGGGGAGCTGGATTGACTATTCAGTGATATTTAAAGGCCAGGCCACGGGGAGTTTTTTTATTACATACATCATAATTCACAGCCGACAGTGTCTTGTCCGCAAGGGGTGGACGAGATACCCGCTGAGCCTTGCGCTTTTTGACCTTCTTGACCTTGAGGTAAGGCTCGCCGTCGAGGTTACATGTTGATACCGCAGAAGTAAATTTAGAAGGAGCGCTGATCTTCAAGATCATTTCGTCGAGTCCAGCAAGACGCCCAGAATAGTGAAACATGGATGAATGAATGTCGAGTGGTAACGAGTGTTAGAGACAGAAGGTTAGGCAAAAGAGAAATGAATGAATGAGGGCGCTAACACTCTAGTAGTAGTCGATATCACACCACCCCGGGGGCGACATACTTAACAAAGAATACCAAGTAGAGCTAACCAAACAACGCGTACACAAAAGAATATAGGAGACAAAAAGGATGATTTAATGCAAATTATGTAACAATGTAAATGACAATGCGCTCTGCTCTCAGTCTCTCACACATCGTGGGGACTTGTATCCGACAGAACTAAATAGTTCCGCGGAAATAAATCGCCTGGCTCCCACTGTGGGTGCCGCTCCCAAACATACGACTCTTTCAAGTTTCCTCTGAGTTGTGCTTCCACGCCTATATATGATTGACGTAATTAATACTCCCAATCATGCAGGTCTTGTTCCAGCCACACGCACCTCAAAAAAACGACGTCTATCAGTCACACTTACGCTCCTACAACTTGTGAGGTTCAACATTTGTAATTTAGGGCAGGTGTCGATGACAGAAAAGAGACCAGCACCTGCAACACTTCAACTACAATTCAAACTTCAAGATAACACGTCCGCTTACTGCTTATTTTTGTACCCGCTAGTTCTAACACCACAAGATTTGAGCAGCATGCCAAATAAGGCGTGGCATCATCATTCACACCAGTGTTGTTGAGAATGAGCTGTTCGAGTCTGGGTGGTTTGTTTTCGTCGTCTTGCGGCAAGAGCCCAGAAAGATCAAGCGACTGTAGGTGATGCACACCTGACATGTTGAGGTACTGATACAGAATTCAGGTACGACATAACTCAAAGAGCGATGAAACCAACCCTGCATTTCCTTCCGACGCATCGAATGAAGTACCCCAGGGCTTCGCTACGACGAAAGGTAGCCCCTAATTTTGTATTTCCGACCAAACTGATCTTTTCGAGTTGCCCAAAATCTTTCAACACGTTTGTCAATGACTCCAGCGTCTGGTCCGTCATCGTCATCGCAGAGGTATTTCCAATAGCTACTGACGACCCTTGCCTACCTCCAAGTGCCCCGAGAGCCAGAGATTTGATGCGAGGAAGGCTAGAGATGAGTGCCACGACATCAACGCTGGAAATCGCAGTAGATGTCAAGGACAGCTTTTCTATTCTCGCCTCTACTAGCATAGCCGGCAGTAGTCGGTGAATATGCGTGAAGGAGAGGTCCAGCCGAGTGAGGTTCGGACAACGGGCCAAAAAGGGACTAATTGAGCTTTCTGAAAGGTCCAACTGACGTAGTTTTAATGTTTGTATATTCCTCAGTATGAAACTCTTGTCTGCGAATACGGCAGAAGATAATTTGGCAAAGGTTGCATCAGTCTAGGCTGCAATAAACCAACAGTTCGAAAAAGTTCAAGCCACTTACTCACCCAGTTCGGTATCCCGGCAAGCTTTAGCACCTTAAGCTCAGAACACGTTTTCAGGAGTTTGACGAGTGCCACAGGCGGGACAGCGGTATAATTGAAGTTCACAGTCAAAAGCAAGGGGCAAGACCGTGCGGCAGCTTCCGCAGTGGCGGACCCCACTTTGACGCAACCACTGCAGAAAATCAGGGCCTCCAAACCGCAGTTGTGAATTACACTCACCGAAGAACCAAGATTCTGAGGGACGGCATGGATGGCAGGACAGTCGCAAAGACAGAATCAGCAAATTTAACGAATCCCGTAAGATGTAGTTCATGCAGCGAATTGCCAACTGCAGCAGTAGCCAAAATTGTGATCTTGTTTACTCCTGGGAGGTCACTGGTCAGTACAATCGATGGGCCTCGTAGAAAATACTGACAGAAGATGAGTAATATATCGGGGAGCAAGGAATATGCATACGGAAGTTATCATTGCGCTGGTAAGTAGTTGTGGACAGAAGGATCTCAGCATAGCGAACAGTCCGGGCACCAGATTGTCGGGCATAAGCTTTAACCACTTGAGCGTGCTTTCCCAGTCATCACGAGTGTCGTGTAGTGCCCGCAGGTTCGTGACGAAGGAGCGCGCGCATAATACGGAAAGGTTAGGAATCGCGCCTGTGGATGGCACAAAGCGCGTGGAAAAGGCAGATGCTGTGGAGAGGCTCGGTGCGAGATTGACCTGACCATCATCCTGGGTTTCTGCACCAAAGGCGGGGACTCCTGCCCTCCGTCGCTTTGCAAGTCGTTGGGAGGTTTCCGCCTTCCGTTTGGACATGAGAGTGATTCTCGAGACTGAACTTTCTGGTTTGAGTAATTATCACATAAGTGGTATATGGACTACATGTACCTAATTATAAGCAATACCAGCTGTCTGCAAGTAGTACCATCCAAATACCAGGATCAATAATGGTTATCGACGAGTACCAGTTCATTCACGCCAAACCCCAAAGGCCGAAGCCGGAAATCACAGCTCCAATTAATCCTACACTGGCTCTCCATACTACCTTCTCTATTGACTTGGTGCACGGTGTCACTGGACGCCCAAACCAAGAGAACACTGTGCAAGGTACTCGCACAACAAGTTGGAGCACGTTGAATGGAACCGGAAAGTAATAAGGTTCATACTGGATAAGGGCTTCCACGAATGACCTGCGTGCGTGCAACCCGATTTCTCGTGAGTAACGATCCCATTTACTTGTTAAGGCGGTTGATAGTGCCGTTGGGAACATCGCTAAGGTCACGGCAAGTCCACCCAATAATAACATGATGACAGTGATGAAGAGGATGAAGAATGAAAATCGGCTATCCATCGGAGCTACTTCCAGAGAGTTTGTTAACACTGACAGGGGAGTGTCGACGAGCGAAGCGGATACAAGGAATATCGCGAGTAATAGGACCGGAAAGAAAAAGAGGGTGACCGGTATGACGATGCGAGTTGCTCCGTGCGAAAGCAACGTAGAGAGGGGTATGGTGCTCTCAGGCTTTATTGCGAAGGGTAAGCCGGGAGAGTTAGGGAGGTGAAGGAGAAATAGCTGGAGTAGGAGGGCAATGTGAAGCACAGAGAATGAGGCACTTCCAGGGAAAGGGACAGATGGAAGAGTCATAACGAATGCGGGGAACACAAACATCGCCGGTAGAGTATGTATTGACCACGATCGAGCAAGGGATGCGGCAGACATGAAAGTAAGAGCAATCTCTCGAGTGCCTTGCTCACTTTGTCCTAGGGTTATGCGGAAGTGTGGTGGATACAACAGGTAGTGAATAAGTGAACCCATAAAGACCAGTCGGCCCAAGAAATCAATGAAATGCAGAATTCTGTGAATGGTGTGAGGATTACACATGAAAATTCGTATCTGCGGCCATACCTGGGTGTCGAAAGTGCATCAAAGTGTCCTATCAAACTCAAGCTGCGATCCCGCGCGGATTCAGCTTTCATCCCATATTTCCAATACTTGATGACTACGGCTTCTACGATGGGGTGCGTAAGAAGCTCCGGAGGAGTATGGTCCCCCGTCAACATATCGATTACTGCCCAGCCATGATTGTGAATCAATTATTGGAGATATTGCGCTCGCCGCTAACCTCTCGTAGTTCTGTACCCCGTATCTTTCAGAGGAAAGGCTGTCCAAAAGATAGTTTGGATGGCAGAAGAACTGCTATGATTCAGGAGGAATTGGTTCAATATTTCGCTAGCACGTCGTCCAGTGTCCTCAGTGACAGACGAGGCGTCTCTGGCATGTTGCCAGTTTTCCCAGATATCTGAAGAGTCGTTCAGGGCACCGTAGTGTGATTCATTAAAATGTAGTTGGACAAGCAACATAAATGCAGTCCGCTCCGCATCAGATGGAAACCTATATTGCGAATCCAGGGTACCATCGGCATTTAAGCCTCCTGAGCGGTACCGACACACCGCGGGAAGTACAGCAGGACGTTCCGTGAAACTAGGTGACGCTGGTAACAGAGGAGTAGCTTCGTCGACCTGCAGTGTTTCATTCATGAGTAGTAGTGTGGGTAACTAAACACGTTGTTGTGCAACTTGTGATCGACAAACACAAACATACCCTAGGTCAGGGATATGAGCAAGTCGATCGTCAAACCACGCCTTGAACTTCACCAACAATGAGCACGAACACTCCGTTGCTACAAACGATCGAACCTGACGATCCTTCGATAGCGCAAGTTCCGTCCAGAAACACGACGTCCAATGTCCGACCTGCTGTCGTTTTGACACCTACCAACAATATGGCCTCCACTCCAGCCGATGCAGAATCAGGTTTGTATGCCATAATCTCTTATTTTGTTGTCTTTAATAGCGATTCACAGGCATTACTGGTATATTGAAACAGGTCTGAATCCAAAGCAACACGTTGACCCTGAGTCACTGTTGGACTGATTCTTAACTACTTAGTCTGCCCATCCTGCAGCTTTGTTTTGCCTCTATTTCTTCAGGATATCCGCCATCGTCGTGTACATCCTATGTGGACTGTTTACGAACAATTACGTTCTTTCTGTGAGTAGCAGACCTTTTGAATGTTCGCATTCCTCACCAGTTGCGCGTAGACGGTGGTGGTAGTTATCTTACTTGCCATGGATTTCTGGAATTGTAGAGTGAGCTTTCACGAAGCTCGTTGACTCTGACAACCGACTAAGATGCGCAAAGAACGTTTCTGGACGTACCCTTGTCGGCCTGCGTTTCTGGAATCAGGTGGACGACGACGGGGAGAGCTATTGGGTATTCGAGAGCAGAGATGTACGAGAGAATTTATATATCTTCTGTGCCAAGCGTCTCATTCCTTGCTGCTAGCCCTCAAGACCAGCAAATCCAGTGGATGCCAAGTGCGTATTATTTCCATTAACAAAGGTCGAGTTTACCCTTACCATGGTGCGAATAGGATGTTCTGGGTAAGTCAGAACTTCTGACGTTCAGGCTTATCACCTGCACATACACTTTGCAGATAGCCCTTTATATGTTTCCGGCACTCTGGTTGCTGGTCTTTGTAGTCTCCCTTCTCCGTTTCAGTCTCTCGTGAGTTGGAAAGAAGTGTCCTCAGTTGGTTGCTTACCACCTAGCCAGGTTTTTGCCTATTGTGGCTCTAGCGCTTGTCTTTAATTTCACCAATGCTGTTGGATTCACCTATGCGTCAGTCTTATTCCTCCTTATGTGACCCGATGCTCAGAAACGTCGCTTTCAGAGACAGGGATGCAAAACAAAGGTGGGCCAATAGTATGGCATCTTCTGGATGGAATTTTGGAATGGGGGGCATAGGCGGGCAGATCCTGGGCGGCGCGATGAAGAACAGCGTCGGGAGATTGTTTGGATGAATGAACATTCATCATACTTGATTCCGAAGGCGGGTTGTGATATAGCTAGTGTTACACAATTGCGAAAGTTGCAACGATAAATGCTGAGTCCAAATGAAACTAATGAACACGAAGATGAAAGCAAGCAATGGACACGAAGATGAAAACAACAACTTTAAGGACCAACACGAAATGCGAACAACGGCCTACGTAACAGCTCTAGATGGATTGATACAACATGCGTCACTTGTGCCTTGCTGCCAACGCATTCGCGTATGGAAGCAGATGACATACAACATGACGAATGTAAGGCCACAGACCAATGTCGTTTACTCAACCCCAACCCAACCTCGTGCATCGACGCGAGAATATGCCGTTGTTGGTGCCACCGAAGTCCCGACGCCAATGTAAGACTTCATACGGCCGTGAGAGCGAGAGGTTGATACTCGAGGGGTGTGTTGCGATGGGAATGGGTAGGCAGTGTTCTGCATATTGGACGTTACAGTCATAGTAGATGGGGTGCGCAATGCGGTCGTCAGATGCGTGGGTGAAGGCGGGAAGACGAACAGAGTCTGAGAGGGCGTCGCAGCAATAAGTTGTCGTGGTGGGATAGTTTTTTGGGGAAATGTAAATTGACTGGCGTTTCCGCGAAGTTTGAGCGGAGGTGGCGCTGGTTTACGAGCTGGCGTCCGGCGACGGGTACGAGGTGTCTCTTGACTGTCTTGTACAGCGATGGGTGTGATGGGGGAAGGGGGTACCGGAGGCAGTATGCCTAACGGCGGCGGTCGCCGCTTGCCCTTGCCCGCGGGGAAGTTGAAAGTTGATTGCACTGCCGTACCGGGAGGTTGATGAATATTGAACGTAAGTTTCGTTGCAGGTGCCGAAGGCACGGGATCAAACGATTTGCTTCGTAAGGGTGGGCGATGAAGCGAAGCTTTACAAGACGAAGGTTGAGTACTAGGTTCGCTCGTGCCAGGCGATTCGCTGGACAATGACAAACACGGACTTCTTCGGGGTTCGGTGGCTTCATCGAAGCCTCCACCAATTCCTAAAAGCTCTTGCTCCTCGTCCGCTTCAACTAAATCCTCGCTTAGGACGCTGCCGGTGGTATGGATGCTGGCAACTGAGCCGGTTCGCTTGCGTCCATATCGGCTGCGCCACGCCAGACCCATGCCCACTCCCGATGAGGAAGCAACGGAGGATACCGAAGGCTTCCTTGCGATTATGCGTTCTTCCATAGCCCGGTCGAGGTCTTTAGCCTCCTGTTGGATAGCATCGTCTCTGTCATCCGTTTCGTCATTACCGTACGCGTTACGGCGACGACCCCACTCCTTTTCTTCGTCACTGATGAAAGAAGACTTGTCTGATTCGGCGGGCGAGGGACCGCCGCCTTTGAGGGCCTTTTCATATTCCAATAATTGGTAAATGAGACTAAAATTAAAACAGCATTGAAGTCGAAGGCGAAGTGGCGAGAATCGAGGCTTGCTTACGACATATTTGGACCAACATGCTTACTTTTCTCTTTTACAAATGAGTATGCTGCTTGCATGCCTTTCAGCTGCCACACCTCAGGGGGTACGTTAGGTAAACACATGGCAGCGGCGCGCATTACAAGAGCGATAACCAGTGTAGCTGAGCGGGAGATGCCACATTGGCAGCTACACATGACATGAGGACCATAAATCCGACACATCTACGAAACTACGCACTGGATGAGTACGCCTTCATGACGATTGAGTGCGGCATCTACAAAAGCCATAGCAGTAGGAAATCCTTCCTGAACGAGGTCTGCCTGTCCGTGAGACCAAGACAGTTTCAAGTAATGCATGCCTGGACGCCCAGAGGGAATATGGGCAGGGTAATATGTCGATGTCGTGGATTGCATTGCTTTGGATGCGTTGGAGCTAAGATTGGGAGTTGATGCGAAAGGTCGCAGGGGTTGCGCAGTAGAAGAATCAAAGGGTGACGTGACTTCCTTTGCAACGTTGAGGATCGCCTTGATCCGGAGTTCCAGGAGGCCAGGCCAATCTCGCGCATTGTCCTCAGAACCAAGCCAGATCCCAGGAAGAATTTGAATGGGACCATTTACGTATGGTGCGGTTGGGGAACCATCTTCATCTGTTCGATGAAGGACAGTAGTGATGCTAGTATTTGGCAAGGAGAGCACCGATGGGCGTCTGGGACGAATAGCCTGATGGAGGTCTTGCTGTGTGTCGACAGCACTGAGGGGATCTGAGAGTGGTGAGACGAGAGAATTTGAGGAAGATTGAGCCGATGGAAGATTAATTGAAAGATTTTTCATGTTTCTGAGTGACCTTGGTTTTTTATGTGCAAGAAGCTGAGGGCTTGATGCGGAATCGGAAGCGGAAGAAGAGGGGACAGATGGAGAGGTGGCCTCGTCCGTTGCGAGGACTATAAGGGGACTGTGTTGAGCAGGAGTGTCAATGCGGAGGGCTGTGGGGGGACATCTTTTGCGTGTGGCCATAGATGGCGCCTGGACCAACTGCGGTACATATTGATTTTCGGTAGATTGCATGACAGGAGTCAAAGATATGAATTACACGACCAGCGTGTCACCTTGCCTGCAGGTGATTAGATTGATCAAGTTGGAGTCGAGAAGATCTCCGTGATTCTTGACCACAAGGTTCAAGTGGTATGAAAATATAAAGATCCAGTAAAACAACAGAGGGAGAAAGAAAGAAAATAAGAAAAGTGTCGGATACCAGGAACAAGTAGAGAGAGTACAGGATAAAGTGTAGTTACATAATCATAATACAAGTCTCTTTGTACTTGTTGGCGGTCGCAGTGACCACAGCCCCCCATCACTATAAGCGTGGTGTCCTCCTTTCCGATCGCTTATGCCGGCTCCGCTACTTTCATAATGTCGGCGGACGTTTAACGTTCATGTATTTCAGTTCCGGTTGTTCAGACGAGGACTCAACCACACACATTGTAGTTGACTCCACGAAGCTCCGTCTACAATGCTGCGGCGTATCGATCCGCGTTATCACCCAATCTCCTTTCGCTTTCAACTTAAAATGGAACAGTGGGAGACTTGGTAGCCGTAGACATGCCCGAGCTTGACATCCTGGGCGGTGGCGTAGATGCTCTGCCTCTATGGACACCGGTAAGAAGCCTATCTTGACGAGACCAGAGCACCCCATTTTCGGTGTTATTGAACGCAACAACTCAGTATTAGTTCCCACTTGGCTGGCATGTCACGACAGTCCTGGCATAACCCTTCTCGACCTCTTATTACCCCATGCCCCACACCCCGCTTACTTGTTCCCAAGTTTTGAATCTCTTCTAAGTAACATTATAAATATAATGCGTGACAGATTCGAGCCATGGATTAACCTGTTGATGTAACTTCTCGTGTGAGGACAGAAGTTTGCTTAAGCGTTTCCTGAGCCCATACCTGTGATCAGACCTGTAGGCTGCGATCACGAGGGGACAGACTCGGAAGCTTTGCAAGTACGTATGCGGTGTTAACGTGGTGCTTATGAAACCTTAACATGAACCGTCAGCAAGCTCTGTTCGTCGTCTCCTTCCTTTCAACCTTAACTGTCCTTGTACTTGGCTTTCATTGGCTGCGAGTACAGCTAAGGGAAGCTGGTTACGACGTCTCACGACTTATACTTATTGGATTAGAACCAAAATTCGATACCAACCAGTTGCCTGATCATACCAGCAACACTCTAATGGCGTTCGGAATCGACAGTTCATACACACAAGTGATCGCTTTGGCACTCGCGGTCGCCAGCAGCGTGTTCATTTTTGTCAAATTCGGCTCTTCATCGAGTGCGTTTGTGGTCTGAATGACCGTTTCATGCTCTTCGGCACCGTCTTTCCGCTAACGTGTTTCCAATGTAGAACGAAAGCCAGTACTAAACCCCCAGGTTTGGAAAGAGTTCTCACTCAAGGAAAAGATCGTCATCTCGCCCAATACCGCCATGTGCGTTCAATTGCATGTCCTTCATGTTAACCATTGAATGACCGCTGTCACCGCTTAGCTACCGGTTTGCCCTGCCTCACCCGCAGGATGTCCTTGGCCTCCCCATTGGACAGCACATTTCGGTCTCTGCAGAGATCAACGGAAAGGACGTCATGCGTAGCTATACCCCGACTAGCAGCGATGATGACCTCGGCCACTTCGACCTTCTCATCAAAGTAAGTCGCCGTTTTCACCTATGACTTGACTAGCCATTCTTATTCGGGCTGCAGTCATATGAAAAGGGCAACATTTCGCGCTACGTCTCTCTTCTTAAGATCGGTGACAAGGTCCGCATTCGTGGCCCGAAGGGTGCTTTCAAGTATACCCCCACGCTGTCTCGCGAGATCGGTATGATTGCGGGTGGTACCGGTATTACGCCCATGCTGCAGATCATCCGTGCCGCCTTGAAGAACCCCGAAGACAAGACGAAGCTCAGCCTTATCTACGCCAATGTCAGCTTTGAGGACATTCTTCTTAAAAAGGAGCTCGATGCTCTCGCTGCAGCCCACCCCAAGCGTTTCCAGGTTTACTATGTGCTCAACACTCCTCCGCAAGGTTGGAATGGTGGCACAGGTTTTGTAACCAAGGACCAGATCGAAAAACACATGCCTCCGTCAAACCACGATATCAAGGTCCTTATGTGTGGTCAGTCAGATGATGTTTGTTCTTACACGTTTCATTGATGATTCTCCCACAGGTCCACCACCGATGATCACCGCCATGAAGTAAGTGGGATTGGTATTTGAATTTGACCAACATATTGACAAACGCTTCATAGAAAACATCTTGCGGAGCTCAATTACTCTGCTCCTCGCACGATCAGCAAATTGGAGGACCAGGTGATTAAGCCACTCTCAAACGTCGATATTCCGTTGTCTAACACCACTTGGCAGATCTTTGCTTTCTAGACACGTTTTGGTTTGCCTTGAATAGATTTGTCAATGTAATCGATCTAATACAATTGGCACTTGATTTGACACTAGCAGGACGTGGATTAAAGCGCTACCTCGTCTGACGAAAGGCACAGTCCCTGACCATCGCGTAGCCACACGGACTCGTCGGTCTGATTTTGAATAAGCTCTAATCCCCTGTGTCCTAACGAGTGCGGGTAGCTACATGCGAAGTAGCTCGAGCGCTCTGGATGACAGTCGGTTTTGCACTGAGAATCTGGGCCCACCGGACTACACACTCCGAACTGAGGCGAAACTATATTACACTGCCATAACTCCTTGATACCCTCAGCCTGTCAGCTTCAGCAGTGTTTCGGTCAAAGCTAGCTTACAGAACCTGTGATTCCTAGTCACTACTGTAACAAGTTACTCGCCTGACTAACATGTTTCAGACCGACTAGTTAGGCGGCGACATAAGCATAAGGTTGTTCCATGAGTCGGCCAGCATCCTCACTTGACTCCCATATCATTCCAATATTGTATCTTCACATCGCCAAATGTCCAACCCCATCCTTCACACATTTGGTCCTTCCGTCTGGGCTGCCGTGCCAGAGCTCGCCTTGTGAGCTTCTGCTTTCCTGATGTTCCATACCCAAGCAACGCTAATGTCATCCTAGGATCGAATTGGGATATGACCAAGATGATATCGAGAAGAAGGTCGTGAACCTCGGGGAGGGCGAGAATTTCGCTCCTGCCTTCTTGAACATCGTAAGCTCTCATTGTACAGAAATATCGATCGCTTATCACTCTACCAGAATCCGCAAGGGACATTGCCAACCCTTGAAGCAGGAGGAAAGGCATACACCAGTACTGCTGAGGTGACATCGTACCTTGTGGCACACGCTAGGAACCGTGTCACTGTCGCCCCCGGGACTGACTTCATCAACATAATTCATGAAGAGCAGTACGATCCAAATTTCCTCATACTATCAGCTGTATGATACATTCCAAGTAATTAGCGTATGTTTTATTGACAAATTGGTCTTCAGCGCCACGACGAGGAACTGCGAAGCAGAGCGTCTGGATTTGCTATGACGTTCGTCCAAAACCGTAAGTATTGCATAGCTACCCCTGTATCTAGCTTATCTTATCCGCCCTAGGTCAAAACGCACTGGCTAAGCACGCACGAACCTCCCAAAGCGCTGAGCACCGGGAGTTTTACGACACAAAGATCGCTGAGAACGGCAAGATTCTGTCAATCTATCAGTCCAAAGCGCCAGAGAACGTCAAAAACAGCTTCTTTGAGTCTTCTAGGACTCATTGGGACACAGTGAAGGCCTTCATTCTGGAAGAACTCCCGGAAATTCTTCCGGAGAGCGGTTTCCTCGGAGGTGACGAACCCGGTGAAGATGACTTCCATCTTGCAGCCTGGTTGGCACGCGTTGTCTTCGTTGCTGGTGGGGAGGACGCGAGCAAGGATGGTGTACGTGCTATTGAGAAGGAGCTGGGTAAGCCGACTCCAGACGAAGTTGTGACATACTGGACAGCATGGAGTGGACGGAAGAGTTGGCAAGAGGTTTATGCCAAAGGACTGCATTGAATTGTCCTAGATCATGGGTCAACCAGATATTAATGACGAGAAATCGTATACATTATTTTTTAGGGAGGAGAAATCTCGCTATATGTGGCGGTGAGCTCAACCGTGTTCCGCGTTTACTGTCATGCTGTCACGAAACATGTTCATTTATACGGAAATTTACCAACAGTACGCAGGTATGTGATGGAAATGAGTATCAGTGATACTGCGAAGGATCGCGACTACATGTTGAAGCCCGCTATGAGAACTGCAAGACTCTTCACCTAAGAGACCATACCAAACGTTTGGGAAATCAGTGATACATGAGATGACAGCGAGAATTCATACTTCTACTCTGGCTTGTCTGCACCACTCCGGGATGTCTCTCATTGATGGCGACTGCCCTGCGAAGGTTTATTACCGTTTGAATAAATTAGGTAGTAGGTAGCATATGGGCTTGGAAGTACTTGCGTACATGTTAGTCAGATATGGCGGGTGCGATAGAATATTCAGCGGGGGACAATCCATGCGATAGAGTACAAAGATAATGAGTCGATGGATGTGGACCGACTGTGTATCATTTAGGACCTGGCCTTCATGACATCACGCTATTCGTTTGCATCCTGGACTCTTCCAGCATCTCCGACCTGCACTCCCACAACCTGTTGCGCGACAGTCAATAAGATGTCGCTAGACAAACATTGGAATGATACGCACATCTGTAGAATGGAAGCAGCAGCGTCCATTCCTCGCTGGTATTCTTCTTCCGTCGGTTCCCTGTCCACCGTTCGCGCAAGTTGTATGGCTGAATCGTAGTAATGCAAATCCGAGAGGCCATCCTCATCCTTTGGCAGGAGTGGCAGAAGAAACCTAAAATGATACAGCATGCGTGCATGGGGCCTCAAATTTGGGTGACTGGGTATAACGAGACGCGCTCGGGCGTCTGACAAAATCAAAACCACATAATGTGCAGGAGTAGTGTTGCTCACCAATTTCCGCGATCGTATCGAGAAGAGCACGTCGGAAACGGATACCGCTGAGTTTAGTTCCTGGCGTGCGTTTGGAAATCAATGATCAGGAAACATGATTCCATGCTTACCTGGTCTACCCCACCCACTGTGGACTATGTTACGCGGCTGTGATTCATATGCCACCAAGCAAGAACGCGCAAATTCTTGTGAAACATACTCATGAACGGGCTTTGTAGATATTTAGAGCACACGCCTACATCTGAAAACACAATAATACTGACACACCTGAGGAACTTCCCTCCGAACGATCGAATGGTGCGTCTTCGCAATCCTCTGCAATCGGCGACGCACTGCAATTCGCCGTTTCACGCAGAGGGCGATGGATATGACGCACTACAAACAATTGAATGGTACCGTCATGAGAAGCCACCTACATTTTGCAAAAAAAGGCTTACCACAAGCAAGTACGTTGCTGCGATGATCACAGCATCCCAATTGTTTGTCCAAGACCTGATAGGTGAAGTCCTGACAGCCTGTGACAACAACAAGGCACATGATATGGCAAAGAAACAACCAGTGACAAGAACAAGGAGTGCATAGCAGATGTCAGAGATCCAAGCTCGCGCTCGAACTGATGGTTTTCGCATTCAACTAGTAATAGTGGCATGTACAAAGTGTCTTGTGGCTTCGACTGCTTTGTATTACGTAAAATTGGACCCAATACTCGGCGAGTTATGACTTAGGACAACTTACATGACGACTTCTACGGAACCACCCTACTATCTCTTGGTGTCTCATTCGTCTTTTCAGCACAACCCAGGTCTTACTTCTAACTCCCTCGCCCATGCAAGCATAGAATATCGCTACGAGGACGACTCGCCTCTGATGCTCTTGTCGCGTCATCCTGACGAGCATGTCCTTGTGTTAAATCATGATCCAGCAAAGGGAGGCATACCAACGGTCCAGAGCACATCCAGTCATATGGCTGTAACAGGCATCAAGGTATCTGTAGCACCTGGCGCTAGCGCCAACGAGGACCACAGCACGAACGATAATATGTATGTTCTAGAAGTGACATCCACTTCTGACGACCAGTAAGTGGTGCTTGTTTTGCTAGATGACTAGATGAGACCTTAGTTTTCCTCCTTAGCTCGAGCATGGAGTCATCTCATGTCTACTTGCAGAATCCTCAAGCAATAATTGCTCGGTTCAAACAGAGGTCTGCTTAGTTTATTTGTTCAACCTCTGGCTCTATAATCTCCACAGAAATACGGTGCTTCGTTGCGTTTTCGATTACCCTGGAATTGGGAGGGTTGGTGGTGTGGTACCATCTCTGTCTGGCTCACAGCCCAGATCACCGGGTCGTCCGACGTAGTTTCATGCATGTAATACATCATATTCCAACCATAGCCCCCTCCCCCCTTCTATGAGGAATGTAGAATTATATATCATCGGCGTTTATTGCCTTTGCCGCCTTTCCGTTGTTGAAGCGTTGAAGAGCCTGTATTGGACTTTGCGACAGGTGTGCTTGATTTAGTTTCTTCGCCAGCAGATAGAAGGGCGGATAACCTATTGTGTATATGCACGTCAACTCGTGGATTGCATACAATGGATACGTACCCTCTGGGATCCCCATTCTGGATGGACTTTTCTATACTCGTAGACATCCCTTGTTGTCCTTTCAGTCCGTCGAGTGTTTCTGGGTCCAATTGTTTCTACACCGGTATAAAGCTAGAAAGCAAATCATACACGTAAAGCTTACCACGATATAGGGCATTGCAAGCATCATCACGCCAGTCAATACCATGATCATCATCATTGGACTCTGGAACATCCCCAAGAGATTGAAGGATTCGCGAGGCGAGAAGTATCTGTTCTTGTGACGGGGGGTCAGCATAACTGGATAGGGAAGGCTAACGGATGTTGTCGTAAGAAGAGGAGTGCCGAATATGTACGGTCGGACTTCTGGCAGAGTCTCGGAAGGAGAGACATCTATCCGAACCTGGGTGGGTCTAATGAGCACCGCCCAAAAACACAAAGAGAGGGCTTACATGGTCAAACGAATAATCATGGGATAGTACGGAGAGAACATATGTTCCTGGGGGAACATCTAGTCTGCGCAAGTTCGAGGTGGAGATGGGAACGTGCTCTGGGGAAACTCAGCCTTACATTGAAAAGTTTCCATTGCGTGTCACGCGTCCAGACATCTTTCCTGCATCGAGAAGGACCTTGGCAGATGCAAGCGCCCCGTAGTCTGGTTACTGCAATGTGAGATGTATGCTACGCAGTCCGTACGGAGGACTCACTAGGACACAGCTTATTCCATTGTATGTACCCGTGCAAGTCCACGGCAAATATGATACTAGAGAAAACAATAAGTTGAGTATCAGAGACAAAACTATTTGACTTGCCTTGACCACGAGAGAAGGAAGCCCAACAATGAAAGGATGCGCACCATCTTTATTACTTACTTATCCACGCGTCCACTGAACGCTTCAACTTGGCGGCTGCGAGTCTCTGTGGACAACAACACCAAACAACAGATCAAAATCTACTGTCTAGAGCAAGTCTAGAGTCTCTGCTCGCAACAGCGTTTCGACTCACGATGCGTCAAAAGCGGGCTAAGACATACCGCAAACTTATGCATCTGTATTCCATGTCTTTTGGATTCAGACAGCCTTACCAAATTCTCGGTATGTCCACAGTGTGACAAACAATTGCATCACCCTAAGTCCTTCACAGTTGACTCAGAAATGTGCCAATTAGCTATAGATGCCAAGCTGGATCTAATCAAACAGTTTTCTAATGTACTCCACGGAGATGTGAAACCAAGTGAGTCCTCTCGCACGCCCGCAATGTCGTTTGCTAAACATCTGACAAGTGTGTTTTCAGTGATCACGCAATGCTGTATGCACGAGCTGTATCTCCAAGGAAAAGTGCGGCAACCTGCCGTCGACCTCGCAAAAACGTTTGAACGCCGCAAATGCAACCATCGAGAGGCTATCACCGGAGACGCATGCCTATCGAGCGTAGTAGGTGCGATCCGTCTCATCTCTATGGTCCATCCACACAGGATCTGATCACTGTCCCTACTCACCAAGGGGACGCTAACAAGCACCGGTATGTTGTCGCTACGCAATCGCAATCCCTGCGCGATGGACTGCGCATCATACCTGCGGTACCTGTAATTCACATAAATCGTGCAGTCATGATACTCGAGCCACCGAGCGAAGCTACGCTAAAAGCCAAGGAGTTGGTAGGAGCTGTCAAAATACACTCAGGTCAGAACTTAACGTTGCTGCTAGACTGAAGAACAATCCCTTCGTCCATCTGCCCCAGAGCTTGCGACCGTACCCCGAGATAAAGCAGTGCCAAAGAAGAGGAAGGGTCCAAAGGGGCCCAATCCCCTGAGCGTCAAGAAGAAAAAGAATCCAAATCCAGAAGCCTCTGCTCGACCTTCGCAAAAAACTAAAGCGGAGCCATCAGATCCCTTGAACACTGCTGAATTGCCAGGCCAAAAACGGAAATGCGACTATCAGGATGATAAGTACGAAGAACAGAGTGTAAAAATGATCGACGCAGCCCAAAACACGACCAGATCGAGGAAAAGGCGTAGAAAGAGCCATGCTATTCCCTCGTCTCCGCCATAATACTAGGTAGAACGTTAATCTTATTGTGTTGCCCGATTTATCATGGAAGGTCGACTTCAAGTTTGGCAAATTGTTGCGGATTCAAAGTATCATAGAAAGTATGTGGGCAATGGTACAGTATCCGTAATGAAAGGCATGCTACGATAACGCTCAAAACTAACAACCACCACGAAGACGCAGCACAAGGTGAAGAGTACTTTCCTTCTGAATGTTATAATCAGAAAGCGTGCGACCGTCTTCCAACTGCTTTCCGGCAAAGATAAGACGTTGTTGATCAGGGGGAATGCCTTCCTTGTCCTGAATCTTCGCCTTCACGTTGTCGATGGTATCGGATGATTCCACCTCCAAGGTTATGGTCTTGCCCGTGAGGGTCTTGACAAATATCTGCATGCCTCCACGGAGACGCAGTACAAGGTGAAGGGTAGATTCCTTCTGAATGTTGTAATCTGAGAGTGTGCGACCGTCTTCCAACTGCTTTCCGGCAAAGATGAGGCGTTGTTGGTCAGGAGGAATGCCTTCTTTGTCCTGGATCTTCGCCTTCACGTTGTCGATGGTGTCGGAGGACTCGACTTCCAACGTGATGGTCTTACCCGTGAGGGTCTTAACGAAGATCTGCATGCCTCCGCGGAGACGCAGGACCAGGTGAAGGGTGGATTCCTTCTGAATGTTGTAATCTGAGAGTGTGCGACCGTCTTCCAACTGCTTTCCAGCAAAGATGAGGCGTTGCTGGTCAGGAGGGATGCCTTCCTTGTCTTGGATCTTCGCCTTCACGTTGTCGATGGTGTCGGAGGACTCGACTTCCAACGTGATGGTCTTACCCGTGAGGGTTTTGACGAAGATCTGCATGCCTCCGCGGAGACGCAGGACCAGATGAAGGGTGGACTCCTTCTGAATGTTGTAATCCGACAGCGTGCGACCATCTTCAAGCTGCTTGCCAGCGAAGATAAGACGCTGCTGGTCTGGAGGAATACTGCAACACAACCGTCAGTTGTGAGTTTCTATCTGTGAGATGGCATACATACCCCTCTTTGTCTTGGATCTTGGCCTTAACGTTATCGATGGTATCAGAAGACTCGACCTCTAACGTGATGGTCTTGCCGGTAAGGGTCTTGACAAAAATCTGCATCCTGTAAACTCGTCGTCAGCCTCACATACATGTAGAATAGTAAGCGATCGAGAACTAACTTGGAACTGAGAGTATGAGGAGGTTGTAAGTGTCGATGGACGTTAACGTTAATCACAACTGGATGAGTAACGCACTTATATACTGCGAAGCGGAGTTTAAATAACCCCATACACGTCACTGGCCCACAGCTTGCCTCTTGTGTCATATGCACCGCCGACAGGCTATCCTCGGAATCCCTTGCTGAGCCCACATGACTATCAAATATTTTTACTACAGCCATAGGTTCCAAAATGTTATCTATTACGTGGGTGAACGTTGAACTGTCACGCTGCATATTGATCCCGAGTTTCAGCTGATGATCAGTCTTCATTCTTAGATCTTAGGTCTTGTTCCAGTCGATATCGAGCATAAGCCTGATAAGCCTGAGACCTCCAATTAGGGTGCATCTCCGGCCTCATCGGTAGTGTCAATATTACATTGCATGAATTCCCCGCCTTCCCTGCAGGGCTGAAATTTGCTGTATTCACGTGAACTATGCCGTCCATGAAGCCTGAACTTTGTCTCTACAAGGTATGGTATGATTTATGTTCGAGCAGCTGATAAGGCCGATCTTACCGATGACTCTCAATGGTATAGGCTCAAACAGATCTTGCCGTCCGCATATACCAAGGTGAATGCGAGTCGATGTCAATGAAGGCTGCGTGACAGTGCGGCAATCAGGACTTGAATATTCCGTGTCTCAAGCAGCCGCCCCTGACTTTCGTTGAGGAACAGGGATGGGTTGGCATCAGGAATAGATGTGATAAATGAGAGATCCTGTGTCGGTTGAGAGGCACAACGACACAATGAATCTCTGATCCGTCAGTGAAGGTGAAGTGTCAAGATATTTCGCCGCCGAAAATGCTACAAAATAATTCTCTTCCATTGTTGCTCAGTCCAGGTGTGGAGAGTAGAGTGTGACAGACCGCACAGCAAACACATTTAAGAATATGCAGGTTTTTTGCGGGCTACAAACATGTTACGTCCAACCAAGGCGTGAACTTTTCAATGCAAACGACTGTAAACGCCCAAGTTGTTCTCAAGATTAATCTTTGAACTCCGGTGTCCGTAAGTTCTGAACGAGTCAACTCATTCATCATACCACAGCCTGATGGTGAGGTCTTTCTCCATTGAAGCAGAAGCCATGATGTTACGAACAGGATGAGTCTGAGCGGTAAGTTCAGTTTGTGAAGCTCGTGTCAAGGCTTTTCTTACCGCAATCGCTAAAACAGCGTCTGCGCAATCCACATCAGCTACTGGACACAGTGGAACCAAATAAATGTACCTCTGTGGCCCTCGAGGACCTGTAGCACTTCACGACTCTGCAAGTCCCATATATATATCTTTGCGTCCTCGCTACCGCTCACCACGTATAATCCTCCCGTGGTGCTGAAGCAAGTGAATAGACAATATGTCCTGTTAGTGTGACCAGTGTACGTTTTGACGCAACGTGTCTTCTGGTAGTCCCAAAGCCTAATTGTCGAGTCCTGAGTTGCTGATAGAATGAATTTCGAGTTCGGAGAGAATTTGACGTGTGAACTCAAATCACCGAGTCAATACCACGCAGAAGAATGACAAAAAGCATTCACCATATGGGGTTATCGTCATCAACGATAGTCTTCAAACACTGTCCGGAATCAGCATCCCAAATTCGTCTACATTTCGTCAGAGAAATACCTTGCAATAGCCTGATGCACCTACATTAGTCCATCCATCGCACAGGATACTATGAGCGTTCCGTCATGATTGAAACTGACAGCAGTCACAGGATCAGAGTGGGCAGGAAGAACCTTTAAGGATTTCCCTAATAACGTTCAACTGGTATCCAATGCATAAGTCAAATCTACAAACCTCTTGCTACATCCCAGACGCGAACAGTTTCGTCATATCCCCCGGTGACCATCAGATTAGATCGGGGGTTGAAGTTAACACAAAAGACGAAATTGGTGTGCCCCAGTAGGGTTTTCACAGCAGAGTTCTGAAATAAAAGGTTTGATGACAACCAGGACTGAAGTAGAGGCAACGCACCGTCTCTAAGCTCCAAAGTATAACACTCTTATCGTCTGATGCGGATGCAAGAAATTCTCCATCGTTGGACCAAGCGACATCATTAACACCCTCAGTATGGCCTTCGAAAGTTCTCAGTATCTCTCCTGAGTATGCATCCCACAGCTTTACTAGTTTGTCGGCGGCTTGCTTCCAAAGTTTTCAGGGTCGACAGCGCGCAAATAATGAGGAGGGGAAAGAGACGCACCTGACGAAGCAAGCATGGTGCCGTCTGGACTGAACTTGAGGGAGGATATTGCCATAGTGTGTCCGCTCAGAATGTACTTCACTGCATATTGTGGCCTCGATCTATCTGTCTCCTGCATTAGTGCATCTGGAGCAGGCGTAGACTGCATGCGCCCGTTCGAAAGGTGATGTTCTGAAGTTGTTTCCTCGACCTCTTCGTCTACTAAGTTCTCGTTTGGCACGACGGTGTCAACTTGTGAGGCGTCTCCGTTAACCCCGTTCATCGAACAATTGTCTTCGACGGCCATGAGAAACTAAAAGTTGCCAGATGAATAAAATGTGAGTCCCCAGTTTGCTAGCACTACGTACCTGCACACATGTACGATGGACAACTACGAAGAGGACTCAGATCAACTGTAGATCAATTAACCGAAATCCCGGTGTCTGGGGTCTACCAACTTTTTAGTTTTTCCTCTTCCACTACACATATCCTTCAAAAACAACGTGGAGATGGCAGCAACAGCAGCGTGGCTTTCGCCTCCTTCACGGACAGAGCTTATTGAAAATCTGGTATCTGGTGTTGGTGCGTGATTATAAACTCTTCGCAATCGGTCTGGCACTCATATGCAATCCCAGACCGCTACAATCCATCAAATGTCGGTATTCTCGAGGATTACCTCTACCACCAGATCCGCAGCGAGGAGTATGACTGCCTTGCTAACTTAGCTATCTTGAAGCTGTAAGTTTTATATGATTCATATAGCCAGCTCAAATATAAATACTTTGGCTTGGTCGCAGCTACCAATTCAACCCTGACCTCTTCAATCCCGACGTTGTCATTAATATCCTCCTCAAAGCTCTTACAGCAGAGCCTTTTCCAGACTTCAACCTCTGTATATCTCTCCTCGATGATCGGCCGCCAAATTCCACGCTCGAGGAGCCCGACCCATTGCCAACGCTTCTGCCGCTTCTCATGAATCTCTACAACCTTCTTCACCAGTGTCGTTTCTCTGCGTTTTGGACTCTGTACCGGTCCGATGAGTTGGAGGTTATAAGAGAGAATTACACAGTAGAGTGTGCAGGATTCGAAGATGCCATCCGGGAAGTCGCCGCGCGATCAGTAAGGGCTACTTTCACGCGGATCAGCAGTGAGAGGCTGGGAACCTATGTGGATCTATCAGGTTTGTTATGATCCACGTGTCGTTTCTGTTCAGCTATTGATATTATTTCTATAGGACCAGAGTTAGAGGCATGGATCGCAAAACAACGATGGTCATTTGATTCCTCGACTGGCGTGGTCAGCATACCGCCAAACCCTGACAATCAGATTGAATCGGTCGTCATTCAAGAACATATCAAGCTTCCACGTGAGTTTCTATTTGCTGCAACTTTTGGACCGCGGTCAATCTACTTGATTTTTTGTAGAACTCAGCAAGGTCATTTCACATTCTGTACAGGTCAAATGATGACTTGCCACGGCAATATTCGTGTACACTGTACATTACCCACTTAATATGATCTCGATGGATGTGATGCAATTGGACAACGATATTGTATGATATCACAGAAAACGCAAGCAAAAAGGCAAAACAACATGAAGTTTACACAAAGGGCGCTAATAAACTACCAAAAGGATATCTTTGCGAAGCCAGACAAGACTTCATGTGGTCCAAAATGCAGCGAGTGTACCCCAAGTTGCCATCACAATCGCTATTGTGAGCAATAAAACATCGACCAAACTACACCTTCCCTCAAGGGCCATTTTGGCTGATATAGGACCAATAACGCAGATCATAAAGGCTGAGAATGAACCGAGAAAGGCCATAAGGGAGCTAAACTCTGGAACGAGGATCGACACCAAAATAGACAACGCGGGAACAGAGATACGCTCGACAATAAAGAATAGACGATTCAAAAGCCGACGGGCCGTAGAAAGCTGAGTGTCCAGCTGGGGTTTGGTGCTACCTTGAAACGGCGCATGATTATCTATGCCAAGCATGATTTCGAGGATGACATTGAGCTAGACGGAAGCACATCATTTTTTAGTTCTCTAGGATAAGTGCATATCACTCACTGGCCTCGTGCTGAGAGGAAACTTTGTGCTGTTCACAGAAGTGTCAGTGTAGAAAAGGAAGGGAGCTTCTGAAACTCACATAGGGGTTGACACCAACGTCCACATTGCAATTTCATTGATCCAAGGGGTATAACCAGCAGTATTCATGAGGTCCTTACTGATCTAAATGCGTCATCAACGTCTCGGATTGTCATCCAAAAGTTGAGATTATAAGGCTCACTTCGTCGCTCACGTTCCGTCCGAACATCAAATACCCAGCATAACCAATGACCCCGTAAATGAATGTGGTAATGACCTATTGAGATTGGGAAGTGGTGATCAATAAGTTGAAAATACTGTTGAAAAATGTACTCACGAAGGCCCAGTTGATCATATGATCAAACTCAGAAGGATGAACCATATCACGGGCCAACGATGGTATTACAGCATGGCCAGAGAACTAAAACGTTGAAATGAGTGACATGTCTCGGGAACAGAATGCAAGATGAGACATACGCCAGCCATAAACAAGCCAAAAGCAATTCCAAGCTCTGTCATAGAGTCAGTCCCCCATGACGTTGCAGCCGGACTCCAGAGACTGCCAGGAGCATCTGGCTTAGAAAAGCCATCTATGAAAACGACAAGAATGATAAAGAGCGTCGAACAGATGCCAAATAGCGAGGTATAAGAGAGTATAGACAGGGGTAGAAAAACCATTGGTGCCAAGCTATCGTTCAAAAGGTCAAGGAACAGGAGCCATGAGAATTGTGTTGGCAGCATTAGGAAGCAACACTTACACAACTATGGACGCGATTTTAAACGTGCCTGAGGAATACGCTGGCATGATTTCATGCATAGAGTCAGCGGCTAGAGTGACGAAAGCAACGCTAAAGAAACATCGACAGTGCGACTACGTCATTTAGAAAACACACTGACCTGACGGCAAAGAGTTCAAGACAAAACATGATCGTGGTCAGGGCAATCGATTTTGGACCAAACGCCTTGCGGCCAATGTCGGCGTATGACCTCAAACGAGGGTCCTCCACGATGATTCTAGCAAGAATCTTAGCACTGTTGCATGCGGTGAGTGGGAGGACATGATAAAATAGTGCGAGATCAACCGACGTATAGCAATTCAAGAAGCCCATAAATACAATGAGAGCTGTTCCACCGATCCAACCAGCATATGCGAAAGCTAGGGGCTCGGATAGCATTCCAATGCCCAATAATATCGCAATGCTGTTGAATAGCTGAGTGATCAACAGGATTTATCAGAAACGTTTGAGATCAAATAACATGACCTACTGTCTGCCCGTAGGTACTTTGACCTCCGTAGTTGTGTGGTTTCCTTAGGGTACCGGACGACTTGCGCCGTAGTAAAGACTGATCTGTTGGGTCGTGTGACTCTCCCCCGACGTACGTATCTGAATTAGATCCCCCATAACTGACTTGATTGGAGATGGGAGATGCTTGGAGTAAAGGAACAGCTTCATCACTGGTTGATTGATCGAGCTGACTTGCACTAGTAACAGTGATTTCCCGTTTATCAACAGGCTGTCGGGGGATAAAAGTTCGTGCACGTCGCACGACTGGACGCGACGTTTCGTCCCAGTCCCAGAACTCTGTCATGTCATCCCTGGGTATCGGAGCTAACTCGCCTTCCTCGTCATCTTCTCCAACGCGAGCCTCTTCATCCGATCCCTCGTCAAAAAAATTAGCGTTATATGGTATATTTGAACTGGCAAAGAATTGGGAGCGACGGTCTGCATTTGGAGTGAGACTGACTGTAAAGTTTAAACCAGTAGGAGCAAATTCAGTACGCACATGAAGCAATGACACCCCTCATGCTGCCTGTGGAACTATCTACAGAGCTAGAAGTGAAGGGTATTCCTGCACGCGATGTGTAGGACGTCATTTTGAATGTGGGACACTGCTTGCAATGACAAGGGCATAAATTTGCAGTACTCGACAGTTTATCTAAGATTTAGAACAGGAGATCCGGGCGAAGCTTGAATAACGGAATAATCTTAGCCGAGCCCGGCAAGAAATTTTATTGACATTTACATGACATGGGTAGTTTGGCGATCACCATAGAAAAGACTAACTTAGGTGATGCGGCCTTAAATTTTACTATTCCATATATATATTTATTTATTTTTACACTCGCTCTATTATTTTGATTTGCATGCTTTCATTATTTATATGATGCTGAACGGCAGGTGCAACCTAGGCCTCAACGGGTTAATAGGATGTTTACAAAACGTACATTACACTGAGTTGACAGCTCTTCGGTTTGTCCACATCATGTAAGGCTCTCGAGAGACATCGTGACCATAAGATTTAGTTCGGGTGCTGCGCCTCGCCTCAGGAAGCTTTGCACTTATGTTGAGATCCTGCTCTTAGTGGTTAGACAACGACAATTGTCGAGATCTCTAGTACTTACAGAAATGCGTTTGCGCATACCAGGAGCGATATGATTCCACCACTTTATGAATGAATTCTTCAGGGCCAGTTCCCGAACACCCTTAGGGTTTAGCCAAGCGAGGAACTCGTCAAGCTGCAAAGCCAAACGGTCAACAACGGTCAACAAAACGATAGCTAAAGGAGAATACCTCCTCGGGCTCAGCATACTGCGCCCACTCGGATGGTGCCAACATTCCCTCTGGCCCTTCTTCTTCAAGCCTCCTAGCTTCATAGTCATCATCTTCCTTCTTCAACATTAACTCCAAGTCCATCTCGCTCGGACCCTGTATAAAGATTCGACCAGCTCCGTACTGGACGACGCCTCCACTACCCAGCAAAGAAGCAGATCCCATGCCGTCGAACCACCAAATCCGATTATGGAACCGGTCCTTTCCCAATGGTTTGACTCGCACCGCACCAAGTAGCTTCCTGAACTCTCGTTCAATCGCCTCTAATCGACGCTCGAGCTTATTAACCTCTTCATCGAGTCTGCGATGTTCTGCCAGTGCTTGCTTCGCAGAGGCTGCTTGAGCACGAGCAAGTTCTCGTTGCTTCGCATGTGCCTGGGTATGGGCTTTCTGACGAAGATCTTTCTGACGCGCTGATCTCTTTTGGCGAGCACTAGAAGTTGATGCGGTCTCCGAGCCATCTTCTGAAGGAACGTCCGAAAGATCACTGGACTCGTGCATCGTAGTATCTTCGTCTGGGACGACACCGTTGGTCCCAAGCTCCTTCACCTCCGTTTCCCCGGCGAGGGAATTCATTTCCTCAGTGCTGAAAAAGGACGTTAAATGGAAATACCGCTGTGCGTCAAAGCGAACTCACTACTGCTTCTTCTGGCGGCCAATCTCTATTTTCTCCTTGCGAAGAGCCGTTAACTGCTCTTCGCATGACTCCATGTGGGAGTGAACTGCCTTGCTCGAGACGGCAAGATTGCACATCAAGGTAAGGATGTCAATCCTATCGGCAGGAGGCAACGCATAGTAACGCTCGCTGGGTGAGGATTGGACACTTAAGACGTTTGCGGCAGGACTTGAAACACGAGAACTTGACGATGAAGACGAAACTTCTTCATGTAGTTCCGGGGCAAAGAGTAATCTTGTCAAGACTTCTCGTAGACGGGGAAAGTTGTCGAGTGTGGCATGCTATTAGAAATGAGCATCGAATATGAATAATAGGCTGAAATCACTTCACATCTTTTAGGCATCCTAGAAGAGCCTCTTCCCACCCGTCTCGCATCTCATTGTGCCGCAAGGGGATCCGTTCCCAGTTGTTCCCTATGTCAGCCATGGCACCAGCTAACTTGTCGATTGAAACACCAAGCACTCTATAGTCTCCTTCCGGTGTATCTTGAATACGCAGTAACGACAGGACAGCACTATGCCGAGTAAATGGCACTGTGCGTAGGTTGTAAATGAGCGTCGAGTGAATCTCTCCTAATAGTGCACAAGGCGGGTCTACGAGAGAATGCCGCAAGGCATGTTCAAACTCGTCCATTGTAAACGTTGACAAGTGGAGTGGTTGTCTGCGATAAACTGTTAGATATTCATATGCAACTATTTGCGATTGTTCACTTACCCGTAAATGACCAGGAAATTCCATGCCGTTAAAAATGCTTCAAAAGTACCCTGGTTCTCGCCAAACGGAAGTCCCAATTTGCTTGGTGTTGGCTTTTTGACCTTCAAACCCGCTTTCTTTTCCTTGTCGTTAAGCCGAACATCCAGATCTTCAGTAGGGTAGCGAATGGGTTTCTTTTTCTTCTTCTCTGCAGCCAGACGCTCAGCCTCCTCTTTCGCCTTTTGTTGACGCTCTGCCTTTTCACGAGCTTCGCGCTCGCGCTTTTCAGCTGCAACAGCCAAGGCTTTCACTGTTACAGTAATCAGCACCGAGCATTATCCAACATAGAACAACGTTACCTCTTTCCTCCTGAGCAGCAGTCATCTTCTTCTGCTTCTTGGTTGGTGGTCCTTCCTTGTCCTCCCATATCTTTTTACGCTTGTCGATCTCACCGCGTTTGATGTCTTCAACA